ATTTTGAATTTTTGTGAATAACAGAAAAACTCAAAAACAAAACCTCTTTTTTCTTATATTCAAGACCTAACACTCCAAACATTTTATATACTTTCTTCTCAACTTCTTTGCAAGTATTTGCATGACCAAGAGAATGATCAAAACATGCTTCATAGTAGTTACACCACCCGGACCGTCGCGGCTGTCAATAACGGGTCAGTGCTTTTAGTACATTTATTGACAGTCGGTTGGCGGTAAGGCTTTGAACTAATTAAAAAGTAATTAATTTGTCAATTAACGAGGCGGCAACTCTTTGAACTTAGTAAAAATTAATTAAATAATAATTAACATAATTTAAATTAAATGACTAATTGTTTTACCGCAAAAAAGTGTACGAATTAAAGCAAATTATTTTTAAATAAGCGGTAAATATTCGAACTTATTAAAAAGTAATTAAACTATTAATTAGCATAATTTGCATTAAAGGACTAATTGTTTTACCGCAAAGAAGTTGTCAATTAAATTAAATTATATTTTAAAGACTAAAATCTCAAACTTATCAAAGATAATTAAATTTTAATTAACAAATAAAAACAAGTGACTAATTGTTTTAAAAAAAAAGTTTTAACTAAAAATTATAATTGACTAATTGATTTAATACTTGAAATAAATTTAAAAATCATTTGAAAAAAAATTTTTTAAGATTGTTGGGAAAGGAAGGTTACTGCTTTTGAGAGCAGCGAAATTTTCTTGAGGGAAGTATTTAAATGTGCGGAAATATTTTGGAGAAGGGAAAAAAAGAAGAGCAGGCAAAAAAGGGGAGAAAGAAAAATACGAGGGCAAAATATATTGATGGGAAATGTATTGGGAATTATAAAAATAAATATTAAAATAAAACAGAAGATGAATATTGCCTACGGGTCGAATTTGTATAAGGCAAAAAAAAAGTTAGGGAAATTGATTTCTTAAGAGAAGAAAAAGTTTTAAAAGATGAAAAATTAACCCAAAGTAACCATTAATAAAAATTTGATTTATATTATTAAATTTATTAATTTTTAGATTTTTAAAATTTATTAATTTTTAGATTTTTAAAATTTTAACCAAATTAAAAATTTTTTAAAATTATGGCTTTAGATCAAGTTTCTGATTCTGACTCCTTTTTGTCCGAAACCGATTGTAAAATTTTTATTTTTTTTTTAGTAATTGTTTGTTAATAATTTTTTCTAGATGACAATCCTTTACAAAAATTTAAACAAACTGGTTGGTTTAATTATTCTTTTTACAATTAATAAAAATTAAAAAATAAAAATTATTTAATACTATCGAATTAAAGATAAAAGCATAACGCCAACAGAAGAGCAACAAGAACAGACTTCTTCAAATCAACAACAACAAAATTATTCTTCTTCAAATAAACAAAAAGAAAATCCTTCTTCGTCAAATAATCAACAACAACAAAATTCTTCAAATAATCAACAACAACAAAATTCTTCAAATAATCAACAAAATCAAAATTCTTCTTCTTCTTCAAATAATCAACAACAACAAAATTCTTCAAATAATCAACAAAATCAAAATTCTTCTTCTTCTTCAAATAATCAACAACAACAAAATTCTTCAAATAATCAACAAAATCAAAATTCTTCTTCTTCTTCAAATAATCAGCAAAAAGAAAATTGTGGCTGTAATGATAATGATACTAATTGTTTGAATAAAAAGCGTAATCCTTATTTAACTTATTTTCAAAAATAAATCTAAAAATTAAAAAATAAAACCTAATAATATAATTTTTTAAATATCAAATTAAAGGACAAAAATTAAATCTATCGAAATTATTTAATTTTTATAACGAAACAAAATGAAAAATAAATTGCAATAATAAAAATAATCGAATTACAGGAAACCAAGTAAATGATCTGCAACAAAATGGAAATACTTCAAATAATGCTAAAAAAATTCCAAGAAAGAATCCTAACCCTAGTTCGTTTTATTATAATCAATTTTTCAAAAATATATAAAACCAAAAAAAACCTAAAATATATTAGACCAAAAAACCTGAAATATATAAAACCAATTAATTATCCTTATTTCCTTTTATAAATATAATTAATTAAGAACAATGCACACAACTTGAACAAATACAACCTTCTACTACAACTACTAATGAAAATTCTTCTTCTTCATCTACTACTACTAATAAAATTTCTTCTTCTTCTTCATCTTCTACTAATAAAAAAAATTTGAATAATTTACCAGGAACATCAACTGATCTTCAAATTAATAATAATAATAATAATAATAAACTTAGACGATCAGCTCGATTAAATAATATTGAAAATAATAATAATCAACAACAACCTGGTATTATCATAAATGAATTTTAATAAATATAATAAACATAAATTAACTAAATATATATCAAAAATAATATAAATTTAAATTTAAGGCGTTGGAGACATAGAACAACTTGATCGCCCCAAAAAGCGATGTCGGTGTTTGGGAAATAGAGATGGGCACGCGCCCGAATACTGTAGAAAAAAGAGGGCAAAATTTTCGGAGGTTAATGAAAATGGGGTTAGTTTGAATTTATTCTAATTTTTTAAAATTTTTATTTAAAAATTTTTTTCTCTTTTTTTTCTCTAAAATTTTTAATAATAATTTATCTTTTCTAACTTTAAGTTTTCTATACTTATTTCTATTCTATCTTAAATTTTTTTCATATACTGAGAGATAATGATGTCGTTCTACGCCTTTATCTCAAGGTATATGAAATTTCTTCTACCTTTTAACATTTCTTTTCATATACCGAGAGATATTGATGTCGTTCTACGCCCTTATCTCGAGTTATATGAATTTTCTTCTATTTTTTAACATTTCTTTTCATATATCGAGAGATAATGATGTCGTTCTACGCCCTTATCTCGAGTTATATGAATTTTCTTCTACCTTTTAACATTTCTTTTCATATTCCGAGAGATATTGATGTCGTTCTACGCCCTTATACCGAGGAATATGAAATTTCTTCTATTTTTAACATTTCTTTTCATATACCGATAGATAATGATGCCGTTCTACGCCTTTATCTCGAGGTATATGATTTTTCTATTACTAACTTTTATATTCTTTATCTTTAATTATTAAAAATTTTCTTTTTCTTTTTTATTTTATTCTTATTTACTTTTTTAAATTTAAGTTTAGAAAAAATTTTTAACAAATATACTTTAACAAATATAAATAAATAAATAAATTAAAAATAATTTTTATAAAAAACCATAATAATAATAATTTATAGGATAGGGTTTTTCCAACTTATGTATTGGAAAATGAAGCTTATTGGGATTTCGATGAAATTGTGGATGCTGAATTAAATGATGATGGGAAACCGGTTAGGTTTCTCGTCAAATGGCGAGGGTTTATAAACCCGGTTTGGGAGCCAGCTTCAGTTCTGGGGGATACGCCTGAGGCGCTTTATGAGTTTGCCTACAAAAAAGGCGTAGATGAAACTTTGGTTGTTTTATGTGGGAAGTCTAACAACCCCCATATTAGAAGAATTGCCGAGCAATTTAATAATGTTAATCCGGATGCGGAACTCCGGGAAAGGTCCCGAGCCTTTTTGATTTAAATTCTAACCTTCATGCGGATCCCAGCACTCTTACTACTCAACAAAATCGGGATAATAGAAGGCTCACTCAAAAAATAAAAAATAAACTTAATAATAATTAAATTGTATAATTAAAAAAGATTTTAATATGTCAGCAGCGTAGCCTTCTATTATCTCGGGTTTGTTTGTGTAATGAGTGTGTTGGGATCCGCGGGTATTTATTAGTAATGGGTTATAATTGTAAAAATTTAGAAGAAATATCAAAAAGGTTTGGGATCCTTTTCCGTAGTTTTAAATCCGATTTGTATTTGTTTTTAAAGTTTTTGTGGCTAATTTAATTCTCTATCGTATATAAATGGTTCTTATATATTTTGATTTTTTTAAATATTTGTAGTAAATTTAATTCTCTATCGTATATAAATGTTTTCTCTTATATATTTTTAAATTTTTTCATGTTTTGTAGTAAATTTAATTCTCTATCTTAATGAAATGGTTTTTATTATAAAGTTTAAAATTCGGACATCTTAAAAATGTATTAATTTTATTCACTATCTTTTTTTTAAAAATTTCTCTCAATATTTTGAAAAATCAACTATTTTGTTTTTAGTAAATTCAATTATTTTCATAAATTTAGCAAAGATTTATTTTTCAAATTTTATCAAAGAAATCAATTTAAATAATTAAGCACGCTTTACGAATAAAAAATGAAAATTTTTAATAATTAATAATAATCGAAAATAATTAAAATAAAATGATTAAAATAATTATTAATAATTAAGAATAATAAATAAAATAAAATACTTAGATAGGATAGTTTAAATTGAAAAATATTACGACATACAATGTTTAATATTAATTAAAAGTTAAAATAATTAAAAAAAAAGTTTTGTTAAAATTAGATATTATCCTGTTAAATTAAATAATTAAAAATTAATGTCAATCAGATATAAAAATATAAATTTCAGAGAAACAAATTTTATATTTAATTGTATTCAGGAAAAAATAGAAGAGAATGGGTTATTTATGCTAAATATAATTGATGAGGAAGATGAAGAATTAAAGTAAGTGTTATAAATTAGAAATTGTTATTACTAAAGATGCCCATTAATAAAAATTACATTGCAAAAATAATTATTATGAACATACTTGATCAAAAGTTATAATTAGGGTTGTTCACTCCGGTTATTAACCGGTACCACCAGTTTTCGGTTAATCCAAATTTTAAGAACCCGGTTTTCGGTTTTAAGTTTTAGACAAATACCGGTTTTATTGTGGGAAAATTTTTAATAAAATCGCTCATTTCCATAAATATCCGGTTTTAAAAAATTTTCCAAAAGCGGTTAATTTTAGGCAAAAAATTTCAAAAATTCCGGTTTTAAAACCGATCATGAACAACCCTATTTATAATAAAAATGAAAAATCAATCTTCTTGACCCTTAAAAATGACTCCTAACCTTGACTTAAAATACGGACTTTGAAGTCTACAATAGGGACATTTGGGATAAAATCCCTCTTTAAAAGCTGTTTTACACAGTTTATTTGCACAGTCCGAACATACCGATAATTCTCCACACATAGCATAGCAAATTCTATCAGCGACGGCGTCGTCGAGGCAAACACAGCATTTATCACGACCCCCCTCGGGCACAACCACCAAGGGTTCAGTCCATCTGAACGTTTCTCTTGTCGTTAGTTTGCCTTGCCTCTTTAATTTCAAATCGCTATAACTAAGTTCGGGTTCATAATGTCGTTGTTGTTGTTGCTGCTGTTGTTGTTGTTGCTGCTGCTGCTGTTGTTGCTGTTGTTGTTGAATAGGTAGAGCTATAAAATATAAATGTTTTAATAGTAAAATTTAAAAATTACCACGTCGGGCAGGAACACGGATGAGAGTCTCATCGTCATAATTATATTCATCCTCTCCATATTCATAGGCAATTGGCTCTTGGCCCATTTGTTGTTCCCACCATTCATCATCTTCATCAGGATTAGGAATATGAACTAAAAAAGATTATTATTTCATTTTAATTTTATATTTTAAATTTTAAACCTGTATGACCTCTCAAAAGGTCTAAAGCGGTTTGGCGGATTAAAGCTCGCCTTTCCACAACTCTATTTCTGCGAGCAATACGCTCAAGCTCTAATAATTGGCGTTGATGCTCCCGGCGTCGATTTTCCGCCGCCTCAGCTATCGTTTCTTTCAAAGTTAGCGGTCCGTAAACGGGAAGATCTGAAGTTGTTGTTGTTGTTGATGACGATGATGAGGAAGACTCAGACGAAGAGGAAGATGAAGAAGAAGATTGCAATGAAGACATTTTAGTTTTAATATTTTAGTAAAAAATCAGTTATAAAAAACTTAGAAAAACTTAAAAAAATTAGATTTAAAAATTTATTTAAAAATATATAATACAATTGTTTTGACAAAAACAAGAATAGAAAGAATGAAAAACATTGTCAACTCTTCTTTTGTTTATTATTTTTCCAAATTCTCGCTCATTAACATTTTTTCCGCCCCTTTCCTTTCTTATATTCAAATTTGAGATGGCATTTGACACTCTCGGTAATTATTACGGCTAAAAAAGGCCAGATGTTTTCGCTGAAGAGAGGAAAAATATTTAAAGGGAAGAAAAAGAAAGATCAACTATAAAAACAAAGAAAGGAAACATTCAAATATCGAGAAGAATAACAGCTATAAAAATCTAAAGGGATTTAAAAAATAATAATAAATAAAAGAATAATAAAAGAAAGAATTCTGTTTAATGTTTATCCGTTTTAAAATAATTGAATACAATAATAAAATAATTAAATTTGGAAATAAATGAAAAATAATAATAATTTTAATAATTTTAAATTTTCTTTTCATAATTCTTTTTCTTATTCGAGAGTAAATCCGTGGCATGACAATTATCCTTCACACAGTTGTTACAGAGTTCGATTTTGATAACAACATTTTCCCCTTTGCGTACGACCTTGTCGGATGAGTGAAAAAGTCGATCTTGACATTCTGAAAAAAAAATTGGAAAGTAATGGGGGTCGTATAAATAATAATAAAATAATTTAAATAGAATAGATTAAATAATAATTTACCAAAACAAAGATGATACTGTAAAACTGTTTTGCCCTTCACCAGTTTCCAAAGAAGCTGTTCTGGGAAAGCTGATACGGGCTGAGTCTGAGTCGATAAAGGAAGAGCAGGAGGAGGAATTAATGGATTATATTCAGGAATTATTTGACTCATTTTTCTTTAAAATTTCAGAAATGATTTTAATATTTTATAGGATGTCGAATTATATGGAGGTTAGGGGAGGGGTAGAGTTGGGTAGATGTCGGGGCATGGTGCGGGTGTAAGGGTGGTGGCAGGGGTAGGGGTGCAAAATTGAATCCTTGTATATTTCTAAATTCATTTTAAAAATTTTCCCAATTTTCTACTTTGTTTAATCTCAAGCTACTAAATATGGTTCTCCTGATTGACGAATGTGCAAAAATTCTAAAATGCAGTGTTACCTCACTGCGTTATCTGCTCATCCACCCTTCAAATAGAGATAAAATTTTGAAACAACTTAAAGGAAAGAAATTAAAAACGACATATTTGGATAATAATGGAATGAGTAAAACTTTATTTTTTGATGATTTGAGCCGACAAGGGGCAAACAACATTCTCGCTTATGGACGGCTTTCTTCGCCGTTTAATATTAATGTTGCGGCACACTTTTATGCTCGTCATCGTATTCGACTTAATCATCCTTATCATTTGTGTGTAATTCAACGACAAACTCATGAAGACCGTTACTATCCTCTGGAATTACTGGAATTAGCCGAGGATGAATATTTACAAGGATGGATGGCTAATATTTTTATTGATAAAACTACAAAAACTTCCTCTTCGGAATCTGAAAAAGATTTTGGAATAACAACTCCAGTCCCACTATCGGATTATGATGATAATTTATGCTATGGAGGAAGAAAATTCAGTCAATCAGAAAGTGATTTTGATTGTATGCATGGATGGTGATTTATTGTATCATATTTTATGTATTTTCCCTATTTTCTAAAACTTTGACTTAAAATCTCTAATTATGCTAATTTACCCCTAAAATAGCTATCTCTCCATTTTAATTTTAAATATCAAATAAAAATTGTATCTTTAATCTTAAAATATTTTCAAAATTGTATCTTCTTTTTACTAATTATGATATTTTACCCCTAAAATTGACATCTTCTATTTTATAATTTTTACAAAAATGTATCTTCCAAATTTTAATATTTTATTTATAATTAAATAAATATTATGAAAAATGTAAAAATGAATAAAAATATAAGGAAAAGTGTACAATAAAATAATTAAGTGGATACAAAGCCAAAGTCTAACACAGAGAAATCGCTCGGGCGAATGATGCCCTTGCAAACAAAAGGCTTATACATTTTTTTAAATGGTTGAGAAGTAATAGAGCTATTTTTTACAGAAGGACGTAAAAAGTTAGGATAAATAACAGTAATAGGATCTAATTCATCATTTTTTACAAAATTAATAACAGAATTCTTAAAAGTTTCATATCTTAAATTTTGGTTATTTATTACATCAAAATTTAGAGTCATCCCTCTTACTTTTAAAACATACTCAGGATCATCATTTCCATTCTTCCTCTTCAATTTCAACCCATATTGTTTTGCTCCACCACTGCAATATTCAAGTATTGTGTGTTGAGGGTATTCATCAGTAAGATCCCCAAGATGTGGTCCAAGCCCAAGAGGATTGTTGTTGTCAGGGTGGGCGTAGATCAGTGAGTCAGTGTCTAAAATATTATAAAAAATTTCATTTAATGGATAAAATTACCTGTATAAAGCAGAGAACAGCCAGGAGTACGTACCACTTTTTGCATCAATTTGAGAAGATGCAAACGTGCAGCCGACGTTGTCCAAAGAGATATCACAACATTTGAACTATCATGCTCCTCAACCCATTCTTTCTTCTTTAAATATCTAATCATCATTGTTTCTTCATTTAATTGATCTATAGACCCTATTTCAATTGACCTATTATGTATGTATTCGCCCAATTCAGCTAAGTCGTCTGTGATGTGAGTTTGTGAAAGTCCGTGATTTCGCAAAGAGAAGCGCCCCCATAGATTATTTACAGCTAATTTTGCGATAGCCCTCTTCCCTTTATTTGGGATCATCTTTTCCCTTTCAATCTTCATTCCAAACATATCCCAACATTCTTGCACAAATTTCTCTTTTTCTTCAATATTTCCTTTTATTTTATCATCAAAACCCGATGAATGGACTTTATGCGTAAGAAATTCACGCATATAAGGGCGGAAAAGTTCGTTGTCTGATTCTTTATACTCCAAAACTCTATATAATTTGGTGACTATATAACTCTCATCCAATGCCGCATTTAACTCAATTGAGGTGCAACTGCTCACCCATCCTCGTTGTCTATCGTTATGCTGACAGCTGTATTCTTCATTTCTACCACCCTTCGGGTAATATTTAGCACATTTCGCACATAGGGGAAAGAGTAATCGTTCTTCATCTAACTTCACTGGAAGAATAGGAATGTCTATCTTCTTTGGTGGTATAACAAATACTTTCAAAAGTGCCAAAGGGTAAGGATTATCTAATGATGTTGTCCAATGAACTTCTTCATTTAGATTTAAAACCTTCGGATGTCCAATAGGGTAGTTGGTAATAAAGTTAGTAAAGGGGTAGAGCGATGTTACGTCGTAATAAGAAATCTTTTCTCCTTCTTTAGCTTCATGGAAAAGCTTCAGAGGTCCAGTACGTCCCCCAAAGAAACAATCACGAATTTCTAGAGGTCCTTCATCTAAGTAATCATCAAACTTTTTCTTCATTTCCGTATCTCTGCTTAACATTTTTTCAATCTCACACTGCCAATAAACTTTAACCCTCGGAACTTGAGTTAAAATAAAATCCATTCTTTCTTTATCTTTTTGTCGTTTATGTCCTGCTGTCAGTCCACTGGGCAAAAGCATGTTGTCTCCAGAGTAGCACCCCTTCTTTGGACAGCCGTGCCACGCACAACCATTAACTTCAATTCCTAGCTGTTGTTCTTCGATCCACCCGTCCAATTTATATTTCCCCACAACTTTTTCACCTTTCCAGTGTGCTGTCTGTATTTCAACGTTGTTTTTCTCTGAATACCATTGGAGGAATTTCAAAGCCAAAAGACTTTGATTTTCAGCATTTTCATAACCTCTTTCGGGAACTATAGCTAGATGTTCTTTTGGTAGATGATTTGTGCGAAAATGCTTCATACACGCACTAGCAATCGTCATACATTCTCTCAATGCATCAATCCCATTATGAGATTGCCTTTTTGTTGTCTCGAAGAATTCGTTTCTAAAGGCGATCAGTGCGCACATTAATATTTCTACATCATTAGTACAATAGCTTGCCAGTGCTTCGTCCAAATAGAAAGGTGTAGTTTTATTATCTTCATACCACAGATCAAATTCTTTTCGCTTAGCAGGCATCATCCCATCTGCTAAATAATCTTCTTTTGTAGGAAAAATATTTTTTCCGTAGTTTTCTGGTCGATTTGATAGATGAGGGAAGAAGGGCTTATCTTCTACCTCAAGCCCAAATGTTGGCACCAAGGCGGCCAAAGCCATAGGCATTAGATTAAATGAATCACGAAAAATAATATTTGGATTTGAATTAGGTCGTTTCTTCACCTTCATTTCATATAATTTGTTGCCTTTCATTATTAGATCAGGATTTAATTTTTCGTTGTATAATTTTTCAAATACTAAGACCATGTCGAAACGCCCTCCAAAGTGAGAATAAACATAAGTGTCATACTTATTTGGTAGATCGTAGAGAATCCATTTTGCAAAATCTTCTAATGGATTCTGAGAGATAATTTTTTCATCAGATATTGTGTCGTTGTAGTTTTGCTGCGAAAATGTAATAGTACGGTGAGGACCGCACACTTGGCAAAATTTATTATTCAGACTTGTTTTCCATTTTCCTGTTGAAATACAATGGGGACAGACAACTTTTGCTGCAATAAAATTAGGCTCATGAATTCTATGATGTTTAGATAAATCTGAAGTTTTATGCTGCATTGTCTCTAAATCAAAGGCTACCAGTCGATATGGAGCTTTATTTTTATGTTTAAGAGGTTGAATATAACATCCTCTTTTTGGGTCGTGATAGTCCCCACATCTTCCACAATGTTTTTCAAAACATACATGTCCTCTTCTTCCATTTTGTGTGTTGTTATGAACATTCCAGATTTCCCCACATTTTTCACACTGCTTTGAATTTTTGCAATAATCGCTGTTCAAGTGATGAAGAAAACAGTCAACGTTTTCAAACGTCTTACAACAATCTTGGCATTTTCTATGGAAAAAAAAGATTTTTAAAGAATAAATCATAGTTTTGAATTACCTGTTAAAATCTTGTTTTCGACAAGGAAACTTTGGCCCCATTTGAGAGCATTTTATACAGCGAGAACGGCATTTAGCGCTGTGTTCTTTAGGTTTGCTGTAGACCATCTCACATGAAAGGCAATATGGTTGTCCAAATATATTTCCAACTTTTTGAACTCCGTCAAAATGTCTGTTATCATAATAAATAATTATGGGAGTATCATAGATTTCCGGTCCGAATTTGTACATAGGCTTGTAGTCCCCCTTTGACCCAAAAATAAAAACTTTAAATACAAATTCTTCGTTATATCTGTTGTTCCAATATTCCACAACAGGACCAACCCAGTCTTCTGCTGCATATCCTCTTGCTCCGAAAGGAGCTCCAACCTTATTAATTAGTTCATATGTTTCCTTCTTAAATTGATTTCTATAACCATATCGACTGTGAAGATAGTTGTAAAACTGTGACCGTGTTAGCCCTCTGATGTTGCTGACTAAAGTAGCTTGAAGAGCGAAGAAAAGACAATGATTTTTTCCGTCAATATTATTAATCTAAAAAAAATCATTTATCTTTGCATTATTTTAACATATTTACTTTAATCAAACATTGTGAATTTATCCGGTGGTGTGTTGACGCAGTCTTTTTACGACCTCCCACAATCTTCTGTTTTTCAGGCAAATTTTTTGTATCTAATGTTGTTATTATTACGTCAAAAGGCTTTCCCCAGAGAGTTATTCCTTGTTGTTTCTTGCTCTGTCCAACTTTCAAAAATTGATTCAGAATAGAATCAACTGTATTTTCAGTGATTTGACGGATAGGTATCCATACATCAGGTTCGAGTAGTTCGCTGCTGATGACACACCCCAAATGATCTACTTCGTTTCCTTTCTCACGACCTTCTTTAATTGAAGCATCTACGCAATACTGGAATATACCGGCTAATAAACCTTCAGGATCAGTGGGGACGTCTTTGATTTGGAATTTCGTACGGGATTTTGTGTATCGGAATTTTTTATTGTGTACAAATTCTTCGTCAATTTTTGTAATGTAGTTTTCAGGAGCTCCTTCCCCGAATTGTGGTAGATTAATAGGATTTGAAGAAATAATATTATCAATATAAAATGATCGATTGAGCTCGGATGAAAGTTTTGCGCGTTTGTGGGGAGGAGGACTCATTTAAATAATTGAAAATTTGCTTTTATTAATTAAATTGAACAAGATTTTTTCTAAAGTTATAAAAATTTTTAATTTAAATAAAAGATAAATTATAGAAATTATTTTTAAAAAGAAATTAAGAAAATAAGAATGGTAATAATCTGAGAGTAAAATTAAATTTTAATATAAAAAATTAAAATTTTGAATTAAATTTGAATATTTTAGGAGTTGGAATATTTTTGGTTAAATATTAGGAAACTTAAGTTTAAAAAGAATGTGAAATGTTTTTATTATTATAAAAATAAAATAAGATAATAAAATTTAAAATAAAAAATTATTTAAAAAAAAACTGGAAAAAAATAAAATGAAAAGAAATTTTACTTTGAAATAAAAAATGGTGGCAATAAGTCGCTAGTATTCTTTTTGTAACATTACTATCCCTAATATCTCGACCTTTTATATAGCCACGCCTATTAAATTTATTTAAGTCTTTTTTTTTTGCTATGGCTGCAATATATAACTAATAAAATATATCCTTAAGCTTATATAATAATACGATAATACAAAATATTATTTAATCATTTTATCAACAAAATTTTTAACAAATAAATCTGGATTTTGTTCTTTATCTAGTATTTTAATATATTGATTAAATGTGTAATTTTTGGAAAGATAATATATAAAGCATATGCAATGATGGGCACATGTATGAGCTAGTGGGGATTGATAAGGATTACAATTTCTAATTATTTGAGGGAATTGATTTAGAAATTTATTAATTATACAACCGATTTTGGGTTTCTGAATATTAAAAAGTGTTAAGCTGTCATAATAATTGACTGGTTTTTCTTTTCCTTCAGCATATACTGCCACCCAGTGAGATCCTTCTAGTTGGTGTGGATCTAAGTTCAAAATAAATGCTGCTGGGTATTGGAGGGAAGCATAGTCTGGAAGTCGATCACATGATAGACACCCTTGGAAAACTCGACTTGTCTGTGGGTTTGTCTCTAATATTTTCGTAATCTGTAAACTGTTCATTGATTAATCCAAGTTCAGTATCTTTATTTTCCTTTTTCAGTTTTCTCTTTGGAATTGTAGTTCCTAACCATACAATTGATCGTAATTGATATATAACCAAGCTTAGTACTAAAAGCGAATATAGAAGAAGCATTACCCAGCAATAAACATGGGTGTAGTAATTTTCTTTTGTCGTAGGCGAGTCTTTACATAATTGTATTGAAGGAAAATTAGCGAAGGGACCTATAGCAGATTTTTGTGGAGGTATTTCTGTTGTAGTGGTGGAAATTATATGTCTGTCAGATATTTGTCTTAAATATTCTGCATATTCTGGCAATTCTTTTATTTTAACACCCTCTTCGACGGTTAATCCACAAATAGGAAGAGTAATTCGGAATAAGAAAATAATTAAAGAAAGAGTTTTTGAAAACATTTTTTTATTTCTATAATTTATAATATTTACAATTTAAAAATAAATAAATAATGAAAAAATATAAAATGAATGATCAAATTGTTGTATCGCTAGTAATCGTTCTGTTTTTATCTAACATTATTAGTGAGTCTGCTTCCCCCATCACTATAAGCATTACCCCTCCTTCTGGAATTGGCTGACTAAACTTTATATTTACAGCAGTTGTTCCATTTCTAATTAAATCGAAAAGCCCGCTTTGATCTTCTCCACTATTTGTGAGGTTAAACACAAAAATACAATGCGTATAAGCATATTGTTCAAAGGTTATACCATTACTTTCTAAAGAATTTGCAAATCCTATTGCCTCATTCATATCGTTAAAAGCTCTCGCAAATTTTCCATTGTGGAAATCCAAGTCATAGGGAGCTTGAGGATAGCTTCGACCGTTTGCAATAATACTTATCTCTCTCATATTAAAAGGTTGAAAATTAAAGGGGCTTCTATCAATAGCGCCTACATAGTCACTGTTTGAGACTAGCCCAAGTATTACTCTTCTAGGAATTTGATCCATAAATAGATTTGCGTTAAATTCATAACGTCCTTGGCTAATAAAAAGAGGTTTCATCATAGTCTTTCTTATGGCATATCTTGCGGGTCGCATGTCTAACTTTCTTGCTATATCTAGAGCTAATCCATCCATTATATCGACTTTTTTCACATAAAGTTTACAATTAATTACATCGAATTGGTAACGGTTAGTTTGTGGTATTCCTGGTGCTGTTGGGGGTGCGATTAATACGAAGCGTGATTCATTAGGTAGAATTTCTATATCGATTTCACATTGGTTTATTAAATAAAGAGGCTGATTGAAAAGATCTGCATCTATCTTTGCCATAAACTGTGCTGTATTACTTCGTCCAAAACGTGTCTTTCTCGATGTAAATCCTGGTCCAGATTGTAAATTTAATCCATTATCACCATAATATCCTGAAGCATTTAGATGGGAACCCTTTGCTCCTGCTGAAAAACTTAATTCATGCGATAGATATGACTTGTAGGCCATTAACGAATTGGAGTTGAAAACTTCTCTTCCATTTATACTAATCCTCATATTATTAATAAATGTATGGCCAATTAATTGAATAGGGGCAACATTATCGTTTTCGCCGAGATTTACCCATGTTCCATTCGCACTTTCTTTTCGGATACGAAATTCCGTAAATAAATAACATTTTGATAGATCAATATAATTTTGGCTTGAGTGTATTTTGAAGTGATATGGAGTATCCGTAAGCGGATTACTAGGTAATATTTCAAAAACTTTTGATGAAGAAATGCTCACATTTGTAGGTGGAATTTGAAAAAAATCCAAAGCATTTGTAATAGAATTAATACTATCCTTGTCAATTTTTTGGTATGCCATTATTATTAGTTTTATTTTAAATTAATAAAGTCCGAATGCGTCTGATCTGACTCGTTTTTTACCAACTTTTCCAATAATGATTTTATGATTTGAGCAGGAATTCTTTTTTCTATCTTTTATAATTTTTCGCTGACAGCCTGTCCCAAATTGCTTCGGCATGCCTCCCTGCTCAAGTAATGTGTCTATCCCTTTCTTTCCCTCACTAGTTAATGCATTCTTTATACTCTCTCCTTGGTTTACTCTATCCAGTACACGTTGTCCTGTATTTAATGCCTCAGCTGATACAGTTGTCCCTACACGACGAACAATAGGAAGGAAAAAACGCCAAAGTCCTCGAAGAACATCTCCTATTCCCGCACCACCTTGCAAACCATATCCCCTTTGAAACGGGGACGCTCCTTTGAAATAATTATATCCATTATTTCCTATTCCTTCTAGACCGCTTCCGTCTTGTACATTTAAAGGTGTTTGAATGAAGTCATCATACCCAACTGTTGAAGTATCGAATAAAATGTGTACCATTTTTATAAGATTAAATTTATTAAATGAAAATAGAATGAATACAATAAATGAGTGGATTTAAAAATTTATCACTTTTTTGAATATCAATACTATTAAAACTGTTCCGTATGCGAAAGGAACTAATCTTCCATTATCCAAAGTTCTTAATTCTATCTCTATCTCATTAATTTCTCTAGGTAAGACACGGGCATAGATGGGTGTATCATAAATTTTTTCATTATATTCTCCTGGTGTTGCACCAGAAACAGAAACTACTCGCAGAAGAGAACTAAGCGAATTACCGATAATCATATTTTCTGTAAGACCATTTGCGTAAACAGCGAAACTGGAAAATCCTCCTCGCAAATCACTTCCATATTTTGCAATTTCTTTATTTTGAATATTTTGAGGGTTTTCAAATCCAAGAACATAGCCTAATTGAGGTGACAAAGATATATGATCAATATTTGAATGAGTAAAAACAATTCTAAATCGGGCAAAATCTATATTATAATCAAAGTCAATTGAATCTATTATATTTTTGAGCAGAGTCAAATTTCCACTTAAGCGTACACCACTTCTCCATAATAAAAATTTTGAGTCATCACTGTAATTTTTGTTTTCCAAGACTTGCTCATTTTCTATAGAAAATTCTATTTCTTCATCTTCTTTTATTATTGTTTTATTTGTTTCCTTTTCAAAGTCTGGCAATCCTAATGCAAAAAGAGGGGCGATGACAGGTGGAATAATTGTTTTCTTAATTCTTTCAATATTTTTATTTTGCTCTATATTTAATGGTAAATTTGATTGAGAATTATTTTTTATATCATTATTTTTCAAAATTGAAGATTTTGGTGTGACCTTTTCACCTTTAGCTTGACTTATTACATTTTTAATTTCTTTTTCTTTCTTGCCATCTGCTTTTAAAGGGGATTGAGTTGAAACATTGTTATTGTTTGCTATTTTTTCATTATTAGTGTTTGGTTGCGCAACATATTTTTCTTTCTTTTCGTCATTTGACAATTTAATTTTTTTATTTCCCTCATTTAATGAATGGCCACTATCCTTAATTTTTGGTGGGGAAGAAAGTGTAATAACCTTTTGACCCTTATTTATTAATTCTTTTTGGACATCTGGTATCTTTGGTGGCGATGATAGCTAAAAAATATAATTATTTTGAAATAATTTAAATTTATACTTGACTCTTTTTAACATCTGTTATTGCTTGATTGACGGGATTAAATTTTGGGGGTGAGGAAATATCCCGTTTTCTTCTTTCTTTTTCTTCGTCTGATATCTTTGGTGGTGATGGTAACTAAAAAATAATTTAATATTTGAAATAAGTCAAATTTTATACTTGGCTTATTGTTTGAATTTCTGGTTTATATCTTGGAGGAGAAGGAAGAATATCTCTTTCTTTTTCTTCATCTGCTAGCTTTGGTGGTGATGGAATGTCTGGTTCATATCTTGGAGGCGACGGAAAAATATCTCTTTTCTTTTTCTTGTCTAGTCTTGGAGGGGAAACAACTAAATCTTTTGACGATTTTTCAGGATCAAATACGTGATCTATTGCGATAATTTGTTGTTTGAGGGTAGAATTTAAAAAATCACATAATTTTTCAACTTTGGTATGTGATGCTCCTGGAATAGGTACACGAAGGATATGCTTCTGACCTAGGTCGTCTGTGAAGTGAATTTTTAGCCACTGTTCATCTAATGTGCCAATAGTTGAAGGCCAAGAATAAGGATAACTTATACTATGTAATCCACATACCCAGTTTCCATTAAAATAAAGCGGTTTTGGCAAATGTACTCGGAATTTATTAGGTTTATTTGAGGAATAATCAGGGACATTACTTGGTAAAAATACGAAAAAGCTGTTTGACATTTTTATTAAAATTAATTGAAATGATATAATAGAAAAGAAAATTATGTATTTTATACTAAATGTGATTCATGAATCCATTCTCTTTCAGGATATCCTATAAATTTAACAAGTACATCGAGTCTGTCGAGAAGTAGAGTCTGTCGAGAAGTTTTGCGAAGTCGGCCATTTGTTAGAAGAAAATTACCAAAGTCTTGGTTTGAAATTATTTATATCTGATTGAGTAGGTTTTTTAGTAGCCCATTCTTTCTTTTGAATTGTTCGTCCCTTTATATTACTCATCCGATAAGGATTTAAATTATTTATATCTTCTTGGGTCGGCTTTTGCTTTGCCCATTTATTTTTCATAATTTTTCGACCTGCGGCACTTAATCTTTTAGTCCAAATTCTTGATGCTTCTTCCGATTGTTTTTTAGTAACAGGTCTTCTCAGTCTTTTATTTGAAATAAGATTAGATCCTTCTGGGATCTCTAATTTTCTTTTTACTTTCTCACGCCATGTAGCTGGAGGAGGTGATTCTCCGCCTCTTAAAACTTTTTGTGATCTTCGCCTTGAGGTAGTATTAGTAGTACTAGGATTTATATCGTTTAGTTCTTGTTGACGTAAATTTTGTAATGCCCATTGGTCAATAGGGGTTTTACTTTTTCTTAAAATACTTTTTCTCTTCAATTCTTTTCTTTTTATATCAATCAGTTCTATTTCTTTTTGTCTTTCTTTTTTAATATCCGCAATTCTTCTTCTCTTAAAAGGATCAGAATTAGTCGTATCTTCTCTGTGTAAATCTGTAAGAGGCACTGGTGGGAGATGTCTTTGTGGAACAGTAATATTTGAGTTTTGCCCTACGGTAGATGAATTTTTCTTTATTTTCCTCCGATTCTTTTTTTTATTTGTTTCTCTACTTATCTTAATACTTTTTGATACTTCTCCATAATTATCTTCTGCGTTTCTTTTTAAAGCCTGAGTTGAAGTTGATGGTTTTGTGTCTAACCCTTCAGAAGATGAAGAGAGTGGTGGAACAATATTATAAGCATGATTAGGGGGTTCTTTGGGATATGAAGAAAACGAATAATTATCACCCATCCAAAAGTTGTCATTGTCGTCATCATCTCTGTCATCATCACCAGCTGATGCAGAAACATAAGCTGCAGGACGTGAATTATTTTTTGGTAAAATGACTCCATTTGTTTTATTTACTACTTCGACCTTAACTGGTCTGTTTTCCCGCTCATTTCTCAGTTGAAGATAACGTCTTAACTCTTGATTATAGTGAACATTTTTAGATGATTCACTTTCTTTCCTTCTTTTGGATTTTTCTAAATTACGTCGAGTAAAATCAAGATTTGGATCCCCTAAATCACTTGTTGTAAGACCACGATAAATATCTTCTGGGACGAGAATAAATTTATTTGCCATTTTTTTCTATTTTATTAAAAATTTTTTTAAATGAAAAGTAACAATAATAAAGTTTAACGATAAATTAAATTAATATGTCTAAATATCTGTTTTTATAATCTTTTTTCCAAGTTCTATAATTATTGGTGTAAGTAAAGCGGCAAGGACACCTCCAACTCCACTTCCTTTCTGTGAAATAATCTTTCTCGCCCCCTTCTCAGTTCTTGCACGACTCATTCGTCTAACAAATTCTGCATATGGTAAGAGACGTTTCCGTTGACGAGTCGTTAATTTATATCTCCTTTTTACAATGTTTAAACATATTTCGGCAATTGATAAAAGTTGCTGACTATTTGCCTGCTTAAGAATACGTCGACGTTTTTTATCCGATCTTGTTTTTGCCAACAAATTTAAAAATTTTCCATTATCTATTATGAGAGGACTAATATTGCATTGATTTTTAGACTCCATTTTTAGGAATAAAAATTATTTTTTCTGCGTCGTCTTTAAAAATGTTTGTTCGGAGACGAAGTGTTGGATCTGAAGAAGCATGCATATCAATTAAAAGGTATCCATAAGGAATATTTGTAGCTTGACGATATGAATCAAGGAAATAATCTAATTTCTTTGGGAAAAGCTGAGATCCAATGTTCCTAACTGATAGTACAGAGTTTGGTGATCGCATAATTACAAGATACTGAGCATTTTGTCTGGCAACTTTAATTTTCTTTTCGAATAAATTTTGCGTTACAAAAACAATAGAAAATTTCTGATGGTGTGACTTTTTAGTAAACAATTCCGATAAATATTTCTCATCTATGGAAAGCAGTAAATCATCTAAAATAACTAAAGAAGGTTTGGGCAGTCTTTTAATCACATCCTCTGGTGGAACACCGGCAAATACACTTACACCAGATTTTTGTAGGACTGGAACAATTGTACTCATTTCACCAAAACAGTAGAGAATACTTTTTGGGGGAGGATCAATTAAATCAACAGCTTGGGTAATAAATTTTAGAAGGAAAGTACTCTTTCCACTGGAACTCGGTCCAGAAATAATTAGACCAAAGGGTAATTTAAATTTCAATTCTTTATTAGAAAAACTGATTGATTCCATAATTAATAAAAAATAATATTACAAAAAGTGAATTTTTAAAATTAAAATGATTGAGAGTTTACAGCATCTTTAAAACGGTATGATAATGGTGAATTATCTATATCTTCAATAAGGGGAGGTGGATCACTTGTGCTTCTTTTTTCTCGATTTTTAACCTCTTGTTCTGCTTGATTATATGTTTCCTTATTTTCTTTCTTTATCTCAACTTCACTAGTTGTTGTAGTAGTACCTAAGTTGTCAAAGAATTCTTGAAGAACATTCTCAAATGACTCATCAGCCAGAGTTTCCTGTTTAATCTTTTTAGGTGATGGTGGTAATATGGGCGACATTACTTCATTTTGTAATGGTTCAATATTTTTAATAATAGGAATTGTTGCACATGGTGGGGATCCATGTTCAATGTTGAAGATACGGCCTTTGTTCTTGATCTATAATTTTAAAAATATAAAAATTAATTAAAATATAATTACTTTAAAAAAGCAGTGGCCTGGGAGTTCGTAAATAGTATCAAACGGTATGAATGTAGGTGATTTGATGCGGGTGCAATAGCAAGTCACCCCTTCTTTGGTAACAATGAAGTCAAGCTCAACTTCAGATCCTTTACATTCTCGACAACGACCAGCATGATCAAAAGGTACAAATCTAGGAGTAGAAATGCGGTCAGCAGCGGAAATTGTTAGTCCGTTGGCAGTGATATTAAATTCAACTTTGGGGAGAAGTTGTTCTATGAGAGCCTTCTTGTTAGCTATATTGATTGCCATGATTTTAGAAAGAAATTTTAAGAATGATTTTTGAAACTAGCTGGAAATTGAAATTTTACTTTAATTTTAAATATTAAATTTAATAAGAATTAAGCCACGCCTACTTTTTACAATATTATATAAGAGGATTAAATTTTAAAAAAATTTTTAAGCGAGGGGGAGGAGCTTCATTTAGTGTCGAGAATAATTATAAAAGGTCATGCCTTTCTCTTGCTCTTCCATTTAATTCTTCGGAGTGAAAAGGTGTAATATTATCGTTCTTTTTTTTTAATTTTTATATTTAAATTTTATTTTTAAATAAATTTTAACTTGTTATTAAGAATTAATCAAAATTTTTATTTAATACATTTTTAATTATATTAATATTAATTAATTTTTATCATAGCTATTTCTCTAAATTTATTTCACTTTTTTTTAATGAAGCAATTAAAAATTACATCATTTTTAGCGCCTAAAAATGTATGTTAGGAATAAAATTTAACTATTTTAATAAACAAATTCTAGGCTAATGTAGGGGTCCAAACTGTTCAGCCAAATTTCCCGGATATTATTAAAAAATATCCATTTTTTCTAACTACTCCGAATCCTGCTTTCACACCTACTTGGGGTGTTGTTCAGAATGCAGTGACTGGGAAATACCTTTTATCGACTGTGGATCCTCTGCCAGATGTAATCTTTTATCTATCTAAATACTTTTCATTTCGATTTTTTAGATATTTTGGGTTAGAATTTCGAAGAATAGCCTTACACAAGTTACTGAGGCAATAAAGAATATGGATTGTGTTGAAGTATTTGGAGGTCAGATACATCCATTTATGGATTCGGTTGATGACGAGGAAATGCAACCATTTTGGAAAGGGCAAGAGGATAATGAAAGTATGAGAGAAATTGAAACTGTAGTTGAGGTAATTTATAAAATAAAAAGAATTTATAATATTTTTTATTTAAGAATTCATCAGGAGGGAGTTCTGTAATTGATCAGGTAATTACTTCAAAAGTTAATAAAATAATATAATTTTAGAACTCTTCAATTAATGAGTGGTCACCACTAGCTACATCGACACCTAGAGAATCACCAGTTTCGATGTACTATGCGAATTCATCACCTGCACTGATCCGTGAGCCATATCTGGCTGACTATCTCCAGGAAGATGAATCATTCTTCTGAGGAGGTAGAAATTAATATTTTAATTGTAATTTTGAGAATTGAACCCCTATAAAAATTTTAGATTGTTATTTTAGACTAAAACGGAAAATAGGGGTTCAAAAATATAACCTAAAACTTAATGTTTTTATTTATTTTATAACCAATTTTTACTATTTATTTATTTATTAACTCATATATTCCATTTTATTTTATTTTATTTAATAATCATAAATTTTAAAATAATTCATTTTTAAAATAAATTTTAAAAAATATTTAGAGTTAAATAGAAAAATTTTAAAACATATTAAGTTAAATAGAAAAATTTTTAAAAATATAAAGTTAAATAATAAAATTTTTAGAAATATTAGGTTAAATAGAAAAATTTTAAAAACGAGTTTCTTTCACCTTTATTTTTTCATTCTCATCTTTTACATCCATTCTTTTAACCTCATTCTTTTCTTTCACTCCCAATTCTTTCAGTTCTATTTCATGCACTTCCACTTTATCCTTTTTTACCACGCAGTGAAGAGGAAGTGGAGGCCCGATATCGTTTCGGTTAATAGGTCGGCGTGCTAAAATAAAAATACTTAAAACTGCCCAAATTTTTCTAAACGATTTAGCACTACCTCTTCGCCCAGTACAACGAAGATCAGGAGCGAAAATTCGCTCTTCGTGTCGTCGTTGTCGACGTTGTTTGTCGTTAAGCCAAAAGATAAAGCGTTCCAATCCCCATATCACAAAAGAGCATAACTGAATTTTAAAATAGATTTTAAGTAAGAAAAATAAATTAAATTTTAAGAGAAAATAGATTTTAAGAAAGAAAATAAATTTTAAGAAAGAAAATAAATTTTTAATTATGATAAAGAAATAAAAATTAAATGTAAAGGAATTGATAAAATTTTATGAAAGAAAGAATAGTTAAATTTTAAAAAGAAAAATAATTAAAGTTTAAAAAAGAAAAATAAATTTTAAGAAAGAAAAATAAATTTATATCTATGAAAAGACCTGTATCGCAATAATTGCGAACAAAAGAAAATACACCCATTTAATAGAGGAAATAGGAGTAGGTTGTTCCACAGGTTGTTCCAGAATAGTTGAAATATTGGAAATAGATTTATGGACACAGATTATAGGTTTAGTGTAATGTTCTGGCCTGTAGCAGTCATTATCAACTACAGTACAGGAACAGTTAAGGATGGGGACCCAGGAGAAATTTGTCGGGAATTGCATTAGTTTAGATAGTTTAGGAAATTAAATATAAAATGATTGACTAGAAATTTTGCTTACTTTTATACCCGTCAAGATTAGCATATTTTTTCTTGTTCAGATAAACATTTGTACACACACCCATTTTCTCTTTGTTAATTTGTGCCGCAAATAATAAAACTATTTTTTGGCCAAATTAACACGTGTTGATACTCCAAAATTTTCTTTATTATTACCGCTCACAAAAAGAAATTATTTTTAAGCATTTCGCGCAATTTATTTAACAAAAATATTATTTAAGTCGGCAATTATTTGACCTATTATTCTTGTAAGGCGGTAAACGATATTATCTCACTTGGCAATTTTCTTTCCTATTATTCTCGAGATGCGGTAAAATCAAATAAATAAAGCAACAAATTAATTTTTATAAAATATAAATAATATTTAAAAAATAATTTTCTTTTAATTTTGCGGTAAAACATTTAGTCATTTAATTTAAATTATGTTAATTACCTTTTAATTAATTTTTAGTAAGTTCAAAGAGTTGCCGCCTATGTTAATTGGTAAATTAATTACTTTTTAATTAGTTCAAAGCCTTACCGCCAACCGACTGTCAATAAAATGTACAAAAAGCACTGACCCGTTATTGACAGCCGCGACGGTCCGGGTGGTGTAACTACTCTTCATATATTTCAATACTTTTTTCTAATTTATCAAAAGTATCGAAATAGCTCTGAAATTTTACATAAATTTTTTGAGTTTTTATTATTTTTAAATTTTATTTTTCTTAAATTATTAATTTAATTTATTTGGGAATATTGTTGTATATACTTCCCTTTTTTAGTTTCATTTGAAATTTTAAAAGAAATTAGCTTGGGAAAATTCTTATAATGAAATGTATTTTAAATATAATAGGAGATATTCTAAGCTGTTTTTTATATTTTTTTATTTTTTCAAAACCAATATTTTGACTCTCCTTTCAGCCTCATATCCCACAAACTTAAAAAAACTTATCTGAAATTGGGGGCGAAGGGTATATATTTAAAATTGAGATTCAACTTTAACAACAACCCACCGTCGACCTTCTAATTTTCAGATTTATTTAAATATATTTAGTAGGGCAACTTCGACTCAGTTCGACGAGATATTAATTGTGTATTTTGACTTTTAATGAGAATAGGTACCGTAAATCCTCTAAAATAGCCCCCGGGGGCTATTTTAGAGGGAGGGGCTATTTTAGAGGGAGGGGCTATTTTAGAGGAAATACGGTATTTAATGTCAATATTTATATGTAGGTATTTATTTATATACCAAGGATTTTTTCAATAACAGTATTACCGAAAGTACCGAGTCGATATTATCGGTAGTACCACACTATGCCTAACACTTAATGTTATCTAAAAGAATTAATTAAATTACGGAAAACCTCGATTTTCTCTAAATCATCAACATTTAAATATTTTCCTCCCGGCAATTTTTTTTTTATTTTATCAATACTTTCTCGCTTAATTTCCAGAATTTTATTTTTGAAATCTTCTATTTTTGTACCAAAACCTAAAGGTCCTGATGGTAAACTTAATTTTATTTTTTCATCTATTTCATATTCAATACCAAAATTTTGAAATATATTAATACGATAAAATGGAAGAAATTCTTCACAAAATATTTTAAAAGCATTGAAATTTCCTTCTCGTTCTGCTCCCTCATAATTTTTGTCTTTATAAAGTTTGCATTGTTCATATTCCCTAATTATTTCTTTTAATTTCTCAACATCAAGTTTAAATGGCTGAAAATAATTCAAGAAATTCATTATATAATTTTTAATTACCGTAAATGCTGAACTTATGTCTCTCTCTCAAATAATTACCCCCGCCCTATTAACTACCCCCTACAGCCAGAGGTCGGAAAAATAATTACCTCTCTTAAAAATATTTAGTTATAATTAGCCTTTTTAAAAAAGCTTAAATAATTACCCCTCTCCCTCCTTTTAATTACCCCCTCCGACGAGAGGTTGAAACAATAATTACCCTGGGTAATTATTTTAGCAAATACGGTATACTTACCTCATTTTTAACTTTCAATTCATTCAAAATATCCCCATTTATATATTTTCTTTCAGGTATTTCATTCTTTATTTCATTTAATGTCTTCATTTCAATAACTCCAATTTTTGTTTCAATTATCTCGAATTTTTTTATTATTTTACTAAAATCAGGCCATATATCCTTCTTCCCGACCTTTTCCTCTTCTTTAAATTCAACCCCCAAATTTTTAAGAAAATTATTTATTTTTTTAATATTTTTCTCTTCTTCATAAAATTCGTCAGTTGGCACATTCCCAGTACATTTATTTTTGTTTATCTCAAAAATTGGGTCTGTTTGTACTTTGTAATGAGTACAATCTTCATATATTTTACTTATATTTGTCAGAAATTCAATTTCAAAATTAGTATCAACACCTTTCAAACTTTTCAAAATTTTCAAATTTATATATTTCCCCTCAGGCAATTTTTGTTTTATTATCTCAAAATTTCCAATTTCTATATGTTTCATTCTAAGTTCCTCATTTCCAATCATTTCATATAAGGGTATCTCGTTAAAAATATATTTTGGATATTTTCCTTCAGTTTCCCCCTTAATATATTCAATACCTAATACTTTACTCATTCTTTCCAATTTATTTATATAAATTCTACAAAATTTTTTGTAATTCTCAAAAACTGGGTTTTTTTGTTTTTCAAAATGAGAGCATTGTTCATATACTTCAATAAATATTTTTAACATTTCAAAATCATCTTGAACGTTCTAAAAATCAAAATTATTATCAAATGGGGGTATGAAAGAAAACTTGGCCCTATCCCAAAAGAAGGGTGGAATCGTTTTTTTTCATTACCTCCAAGGAAAGGAAAAATGGAAGGAAAGAATGAGACGGATGGACATGGACAAACAAAACACGGACGGACTCGGGTCAGAAGACGTTTGACCGACCCGTGTCCCTCCGTGTTTTGTCTGTCTGAGTCCGCCCTTCTTTTGGGAAGGGTCGAATCTTCGTCAGCCTCATTCAAAAACACACAAAATTTATAAAGTAAATTTTAAAATCAACTACCTCATCAACACTCTTCAATCCATTCAAAATTTCAAAATTTATATATTTTCCTTCAGGCAATTTTTCTTTTAATTTTTCAAAATTTTCAATTTTAATTTCTCCAATTTGATCTAAAAAACGTTCCAAATTTCCCAATTCTTCTTCAAAATTCCTTTTTCCCAAAACACAAATAAATTGACTCACAAAAATAAAAACAAAAATAATTGTTAAATAACGAAAGGTTTTTTGAAGAAAATTCATAATTTTCTTCAAAAAATTTCCTTTCGTTTTTTATCTAAAAATGATAAAAAAAAATTTGTTTAAAAATTTAAATACAGTACAGTCGATGTTAAATACACACTTGGTTGTCAGTATTTGGAAATTTCTTACTCTCTTGGGAAATTTACAAAAAAAATTTTTTTGATTTTATGATTTTCTGGTGTCAAGAAAATCTAAATTTTTAAGGACTGTAAAGCATAGTATAGCTATTTAATTCCTAAGGCTGTGCAGTAGGCGGAGTGGTATATGTATAACACATCAGTCCGGTCTACTGAAGATGCTGGTTCGCTCCTAGCCACCGAATAACCTTTAGCACTAGCTGAAGGAGAGAAATAGCTATAGCCCAGCTGTTTTACTGGACCTTCCGTTGATTGTTTTAGTTTAATATACATATTAAACACAGCCGATGTTATTTTTTAGCAAAGTGAAAAAAAATTTCCCTTAAAAAAGGGAAAATTCAAAGGAAAATTTTTTTTTCTAATTTTTGTCTAAAATTTATTTTTAAATATATAAAATATTTTAAAACTTAAAAAATTAAAAAAAATAAATTTATAAATTATGAATGGCATTGGCAATTAAAATTGGGGATATTTAAGTAACCTTATGCCCCTCCCTTCTTACACAATAAATTTAATAATGTAGCGTTATCAATAGCTAGGCCCCTCCACCCCTCCCCAAAAAAAATTTTTTTGGCAACTTTCCAATTAAATTTATAATTTTAGACTGCCTTTCTCTTTTAAATTCTCTCGCCTAGCCACTGACAACGCTAAATTTAAAAATTTTGAAAGAGAGGAAAACTCGAGGTAAAATTTTAAAGAAAGGAGAGGAATAATTAAAGAAAAAGAAAATCACTTTTAAGAAATAATTTTTAATTAGTAACATTGATTTTTTAAATTTAATTTTTTATAAAAAGGAGGTAGAGGAGAGTAGTTACTCCCACCCAAAAGTGACACCAAAAGTGACACCTGTCAATCAAACTCACACCTATAGGGGGTTTTTGAGTGTGAATGAGAGGTATTTCTGTGCCTATGGGGCACTTTTCTTTTGATTTGGGGTAATTAATCATGATTAATTAGGGTAATTAATCATGAATGATTAATTACCTTTTGACAAATATTTTGCGGGTATTTTAAGGGTATTGAAATACTGATATTTGTGACGGCTGAAGTTGCGGTAAATACAAAGGGGCTGAATCGAACTTTTAAAATTAATATTATCGAAAAGGAAGTGCGGTAAAATAAAAGGCAAGCTTAAATGTCATAATAGTTAATAAATTATTAAAAAAATATCAGTAACTTATGTTTATACCCCACCCTATTTTTATAGACCCCTTTCTTTTTCTTTCCTTCTCTTTACTTTTTCTATCTTCTCTTTTACATTACAAAATGGGTCGGAAATTAATGGCCAAGGATTAAACTCATTTATAAAAAGGAAAAAATAAAAAGGAAAAACAAAAACTAAAAAACTGACGCTGTTCTTAGTTGTAATCTTAGAGAGAAAATAGAAAAGAAAAGAGAAGGAAACTTCAAGAAGGAAAGAGAAGGAAAAAGAAAAGAGAAGGAAACTTCTCTTTTCTTTTCCTCACATAGAAAAAATAAGGTTGTAATAAAGCATTTACTTTTTGATTTTACAATTTTCTCTTTTCTTTGTTTTTCTCTTTCTTTTTCCTGCTATGTGTCTCTCTTTTTTGTTGACAGTCGACTAAGTTTTAAACGCTATATTTTTAGTTGCTTGGCTTCCTTTTCCAGTTTTAAAATTTTTCTCTTGTTATGCCCAAATCTCCTTCCATTCATTTCTTTCATTGCTCCCTTAAAAAATCTTCATATAAAACATAAATCTAGCCTTTAATTTTACATTTTAAGAGCCCTTATAAAATATTTGGTACTTTATTAATATCCCCCCCCCTCCCCACTTCTATTTGAGTCTCAGATTATTTTCCTTCTTTTTTTAATGTCAATCATTTATTTTCCTTCTCTTTTTAATTTCAATTACTTTTTTCTTCAAATAAGGGATAAGGATGAGGGGTGGAATATTGATTTGAAATTTCCTCGAAAAATTTTTTGCCTAAAAAATTTTAAAATTTAGAAAATTTTGCACAATTTTTACTAAAATTTACCATGAAATAAATTAATTTTTTTAATTTTTAATTTTCACCTCCGATTCCCGAAAATTAAAAGATTTTGGGGGTCAAAAAATCGAAAATGCAAATAATATCTCAATTTTTTCTCACATTTTTTACAACTCACTTTTCATGCATTTGCATGTTTTGCCCAACCCTATTTACAATTTATTTAAGTAAAAAAAATTTTATGGCTAGATTTTCACTCACCAACACAACAAAAAACATGTTTTTCTATTGAATTAATTTTCACCTCCGATTTCCGAAAATTAAAACATTTTGGGGGTCAAAAAATTCGAAAATGCAAATAATAGCTCACTTTTTTTGCAATTTGTTTGCAAAAAGAAATTTTTCGCAAAAATAATGTAAATATATAAAATTAATCAATATTGGGGTGGGTGGTGGTACAATTGGTTGTGTTTTAGATTGGGTTTTTTCCATGATAGTTCTATTCCGTCTCCCATCCAATGAATTTTTCCCCAGCATGTACACATTAAAAATTTAAAATTCAAAAAATAAAAATTTTAATTTATAATATTAATTTAGTTAATAAAGTCAGCTTTGCGACTTTTAGGTGACGAGTGTGCTAGTCCACTCGGGATTGTGCTGTGCCAATCTAAGTGAGTTGTGTGCTTTGCCACAAATAGTTAAGAAAGTCTGCTTTGCGACTTTTAGGTAACGAGTGTGCTAGTCCACTCGGGATTGTGCTTTGCCAATCTAGTTCTAAAAAATATTAAAAAATTTTATTTAAATATTGAAATAATGTGAATTAAAAATAATTTTACAATCCTATATATAATTTGAAGGTGGGAAAAATAATTATAATTTAAAGCCAAAATATATTTAAAATATTAAAATTCCTATATATAATTTGAGAGAGAAAAATAGTTTAAGAAAAAAATTAAAATTTTTATATAATTTAAGGCAAAACATATTAAAAAATAAAAATAATACAAATAAAAATTAGTTTGTTTACATGATTAAAATTTAGAGCCAAAATTAACAATTTTATTTTCGGGGACAACAATACCTTTTAAAATTATGGGTTGAAATTTTTTAGAAAGTTTAGTTGTAACAACTGTACCTTTTTTTAAATTGGGCTTAAGGAAATGTGAGTATTCTACTAATATTTCATTTTCTTCATTATTTTCTTCTTCCCCATCTTCTCTTTCATCTTCAAAACGTCTTCCAAATTCCAGTACACTTTCTTTGAAACTTTCGTAATGAAGTTTCTTGCAAACTTCACTATTCAAGGTGATCCCACGTACTTTTAATGAAGTCACTTCTTTTCCACTATTCTTTTCTTTCATTAAAAGTCCATATGCCTTACACGCAGCGCCTACATATTCTTTGATGTCACAGTCGTCATATTCTGGTGCTAAATCTCCAAGATGTGGACCAGCTGAAAGAGGGCATCCTTGCCTCTTCGGGTAGGAGAAAAGGACACTATCTGTGTCCCCATATAACAATGAACAGTTAGGGGCACCTACAATTTTTTGCATTGCTTTTAATAAATGAACCCGTGCCATTGAAGTGGTCCAGAGAGATATAACTATGTTTGATGTCTGATGTTCTTCTATGAATTCATTTTTTCTGTCATAAGTGATGAGAATTGTATCTTGTGTAAGCTTGTCAATTGTATTTACTTCTATTGATTTATTTTCCATAAATTTCTTCAATTCAGCTGGTGAGTCTGTTAAAAAACTTTTTGAAAGTGTGTTTCGAAGACTGAATCTTCCCCATAAAGAGTTGAGCATTAGTTTTGAGATGTATCTCATTGCTTTATCAGGCAACATTTTTTCTTTTTCCAAGCGAATTCCAAATCTTTCTTCACATTCTTTAATGAATTGTTCTTCTTTTTCTGTAGTATTTATTTCCTTGGGAAATCCACTTGCATGGATTTTCATTGACATGAATTCAGCAACATATCCTTTAAACAATTCTTTATCCCATTTTTCATAATGAAGTGCTCTAAAATACTTTTTGACCTTGTATCCGCTGTTTAATGCTTCTGCGAGCTCTATTGACGTGCATGTTGACACCCAGCCTCTTTCTTGTTCTTCATGCTTGCATTTGTATTCTTTTAATGTTGCGCCGCGGGGATAATCCATTGAGCATTTTCGGCAAAGGGGAAATAGCAACCTCTCATCAAATTTTACGGGCATAACTGGAACATCTACTTGATCAGGTGGAATTAGAAAAACTTTAAGAATTCCATTAACAGGAATTTGGTTGCTGCTGCACCAGTTGACATTTTGATCTTTTTTTGATATTATTATTACTTTTGGGTGACCCACGGGAAATGATGTTGTTGCAATTGTAGACGGATAAAGCGAATTAAAGTCCAAATAAGAAATTTTATGTTGTTCATCTGCCTTATAATGAAGACAAAGTGGCCCAGTCCGACCGCCAAAGAAGCAATCGCGTAATTTTATTGGTCCCTTATCCAAATAATTTTTAAAACTTCTTCTCATTTGTTTATTTCGTTGAAGCATTTTCTTTATTTCACATTCCCAAACTACATCTACATGCTTAATATGTTGTTTCAAAATTCTTAATCTTTCTTCATTTTCTTTTTGAATTACTTCCACTGTTTTCCCATTTGGCATTACAAAGTCTTGTTTATCCCCATAATGTTTTGGGCATGCGTGCCACACGCATCCATGCACTTCTATTGCTCTATCCTCTTCTTTAATGTATCCATCCACCTTAAATCTTCCTGCAACTTGATATTCTCCATTTTCTGAATGTGCAGTTTGTATCTCAACATTGTATTTTTCCGAATACCAATCCATATATTTCATAGCCAATGCACTTTGAGTGTCGCATGTGTCATAACCTTTCTCTGGAACAATTGCTAGGTGTTCAGGTTTAAGATGATTTAGCCTGAAATGCTTCATACATGCAGATGCGATCGTCATTGTATCCCTCAGAATATCAATGCCTGAAACTCCTTGTGTAGTTTTTGGACGACTTATTTCCATGAATTTGTCTCGAAAGGCTAAAAGAGCCTCGGTGAGTATCTGTACGTCATTAAGGCAGTACTCAGCAAGTGCTTCATTTAAACAAAATGAGTTGCATTTTTCTTGTTCATACCATTGATTAAATTTTTTCTGCTTCTCTGGTGTCATTCCTCCATATAAATATTCTGATTTTTGTGGAAGTTCAGGAAGAGTAATATCATAATTGGTGTAGTTGTTTGCCATATGTGGAAAGAATTGTTTCTCTTGAATTTGGAGATCAAATGCACCAACTAACTGTCCTAAGGCAACAGGGCAAATGTTGTACGAATCGCGAAATATGACTTCATTGCATTTGGGTGTTCTTGGAACTTTTAATTCATAGAGTTTATTACCTCTTCTTATCATTGTTGGTACAATCCCGGCTGTAAATATCTCGCGAAATGTCATAATCATATCATATCTCCCACCAAAATGAGAAAATGCTATTGAAACGAATCTTCCATCTAATTCGAATAATAACCAGTTGACGAAATCATGAAGAGGGTTTAATGTAACTCGCTGCTCATCTACTAATGTTTTGTAAAAAGGCCGGTGTGAGAATGTTATTGATCTATTAGGACCGCAAATAGTACATACTTTACAATTTCTTTTGAGGAAATTTCCCCATAGTTGTTTATTTTCCATGCATATTGTACAATTAATTGTTGCAGCAATAAAATTTACGCAGTGTAGTCGATTATTTTGGTTTTCCAGGTCTATTGTATCCTGTGTTGCTTCAAAATCAAATGTCACAAGACGGTAAGGTTTTTGCTTCTTTTGTTCTAATGGCTTGATAAAACATCCCCTTTCTCTACTATGAAATTGTGAACAATTTGAACACCATTTATGTCCGCATATATGTTGTTTGGTTTGTTCTTTTCGATAAGATCTAATGTCCCAAATTACTCCACATTTGTCACATTGTTGTGATCGGTTGCACTGATTACTTGATTTATGGTGTTTAAAACAGTCATTATCCAGAAATATTTTTCCACAGTCAATACATTCCTTTCTAAAATTCTGACTAACAGGACAAGGTTTTCCAACACCTACTCTTCCACAAAGTCTGCATCGTGATTTGCATTTATTATTATGATCTCTAGCTCTTCTGTATTTTTTCTCACATGTATAGCAATACTGCCAATGACTTCCAAATTGAGCTCCAACAGTGCGTATACCATCAAAATGGTCATCAGAATGGTATATTGGAATTGGTGTGTTGTAAGTCTCACTCCCATATTTGTATTTTAATTTTTCTTCACATCTTTCACCAAATATAAACACTTTGAATCTGTAACCATTCTTTTCATAAATGTTGTTCCAGTAATCAACAACTTTTGGAACATAAATCTGAGCCTCATATTTCTCTTCGTTTAATGGAATGCCAATATTTCTCATCAAGTTAATTACATCAGATTGTTGTCTTTGAAGTCGTTCAAGATGGTACCTTCTAAAGTATTCTTTAGTTCCCAATTCTTTTGTTACATGTTTTCTAGTAAGTTCCAGTGCATAAAATAAGCAAAAATTATTGTTGTTCCAGACTTTGATGAGCCAACTGGGAATAGGTGTTGTTTGATTTGATGGCCCTTTTCCACCAATAGATGTTTCTTTGGGTAATGAGGAAACATCTAATGAATGGATTGTAACTGAAAACGGTTCTCCAAAGAGGCAACCGCGTTCAGCTTTCGATTGAGAAACAATAAGAAATCGTTGAAGGATATTTTCAATAGTGTCGTCGTGTAAAGTACGAATGGGGATCCATATATCACTGTCTAACAATGTTGAGGAAATGGTGGCTCCTAATTGATCCACTACAATACCATTTTCTTTAGCATCGGCAATTGATTCTTTAATACAATTATCCAGAATTCGACGAAGAACCTCCTCGGGATTTTGGGGAAGTGATTTGATGAGAAATTTCGAAACTAATTTCATAAGCTTGAATTTTTTGCAAAATGATTTTTGAGAATTAATCTTTTCAAAGCAATGATTGATTCCACCGGCTCCTGTTTGATTTTGCTGTTGCTGCACTTCATTATCATTTAGTAATAAATTTTCAATAAAAAAGCTGGGTCGATTTCGTTGCTCGTTTTGTCTTGGGCTTTCATTTAGATCCAAGATATCTTCAATAGAAAAACGAGCTTTTTTGGGAGGACTTGACATTTTTTGATGAGAATTTTTTGAAGAAATTGAAATTTTTTATTTAAAGGGGAATAATGATATTGAAATAAGAGCTTTTATACTAAAATAAAAAGGGGCGTGGCTTGACTCGTGCCAGGCTGTATCAGCCTAATTTAATCTTTTCGTGCCAGGTATATCAGCCTTACCTAACTTAACTTATCTTTTTTATTTGCCTCAATCAAAATATTTGAATTAAATGAGAATATTACAACGAAAGACGCTTTTTTTCTTCAAAGAAATACCGCTCAAAGTCTTTTAGTGTAATAAATATATTGCCAACCGAGGAAGAAAATTACAACAAGAAAATTACATCACATTTTTTTCTATCTAAATTCCCCTTTGATTTGTCTACTGCCGTTTAAAACATTTATCCGGACAATTATATTACAACCACAACTCTCTGTCTTTCAAAAAAGTGCCGCTCTCAATAAATTTAAAGTCAGACGGGAAAAAGGGAAAACAAAATAAAGTTTAAATATAAGTCCCTATTCATTTAAACAAATCCTAGAAAAAGCAAAAGAAAAAGGGAAAATCTTTAAGTTTTCGCCTTAAGTTTTTTCAATAAATTTAAAGTCAGACGGGGAAAAGGGAAAATAGAATAAAGTTTAAACTAAAAGTCCATATTATCTAACCAAATTTTAAAAATAACAAAAGTAAAGGGAAAAAATTTATTTAAAATTGAAAAAAATATTTGAATTGAATTTTAAATGTACAATTTTGATATTTAATTGGAATTTGTGGTCTTTTCTTGATCTTCTTGTTTCTTCATGATTGTCCAATCGCATAGAACATCCTTCACGTACATGTTTAGATAAACACATTGTTTGCACAAATCGAAGGAGATTTTGACACCACCAGTATTTTCGCTTTCGACAACTCTTCCAGTGCTGTGGAATAAAATGTTTGAGCAAGTTCGGCAAAGGCGGAACTCAAGTCGAGGAATATATTTCATTCTTGTTAGTTTCCATAACATTTTATTGTTCGCTGTACTTTTTGCAATCACTTTCTTGATTGCTGCTTTCTTGCTTAACCAAAGGTCCTTTTCCCCATTATCATTATTTTCAACATTTGCTTTCTTTTCTTCAACAATTTCAATTATATCAGGCTTTGCCTCTTCAACCTTAGCCAAGTTTGGGGAAGTTGGGTTGGACATGATTTTGATTTTGCTTTAAAAAATAAAAAATGAATTTCTGGTTCAGAAACTCGAGTATTTATACTAAAAAAAGGGGCGGGGCTTATCTATCTTTTTTGCTATCATTACACTTTTATCGGCGTATATAAAGGCAAAGTATTTCCATTCATTATTCATTCATTCAAAATAAATATTTATTGCAAAAAAATGTCAACTCTCTTGGACAAAATTTCAAAAATTCTGGATTGTACTCCTGAAAATGTTCGTTATCGTCTTAACAATAAATCAGACAGAGACCGCGTCCTCGATGAAATTAGAGGGAAAGCTTTGAAAACTAATTATCTAGATCGGAACGGATCAAAGCAAATAATTTATTGTGATGGAATTACTACTCATTGTTCTCACCAATTAATGGCTTTTGGAAATCTCCGATCGCCTTTCAATATTTGTGTTAGTGCGTATTTCTATGCTAGACATCGAATTTTACTAAAATACCCTTATCAACAATGCATTCAATATAAAAATTTGTACTATCCTTTGGAACTTCTTGAATTAAACTATGACATTGAGGAAACAGAAACAGACTCTGATTCTCCAATAACAATGAAAAATTTGCGCACAAAGGCGTCATCGTCTTCAGAATCGACAGAAACATTTGACATAAGTTCAACAAATTCAAATATTGGTAATTTGGCTGAAACATCACACAAGGTGATAGATCACACCCGTCGGGGAATTCTTTGGTTATATGTGGATGACAAGAAACTTTGGGAAAAACACGAAATTACACTATATTCTTCAAAGTAAAATAAAAATTTCATTTTACAATCATTAATTTTTCTTAAATTTAATCTTCTTTTCGTTAATTTTGCATTTTTACCCCTAAAAATGATATTTTCTTTTGCTTAATTTTTTAAAAAAATTGTCTTGTTTTCATTAATTTTTATCAAAATAAAATTGATTAAATCAGTTTATTTACAAATGATTTTACAAATTCATCGGGGTTTGGACAATTATTTAGGATCAGTAAATATTTTTCATATGTATATCCTAGGGAAATGAAATATAAAAATACAATACAATGCTGCCCACATTCTTTAGATAATGGGTTTTGTACGGGAAATTTATTTTTAATTTGTTTTGGAAATTGTGATAAAAAAGTCTTGATTGGTACAGGCAAGATTGGGATTAGTAGTGAATCGAAGATATAAACTGTTGTCTGATTCCTTATATAAATTGCAATCCAATGTGATCCATCATTTTTTGCTCTATCGAGATTGACCACCATTGAACATGGAAATTTTTGTATTTCTTTTGGGATCTTATCCGCTGCAAAACATCCTATAAAATATCTTCTTGTAATTCGGCTCTCATATAGAATTTTTTCAATTTGAATTGTATTCATCGTTTTCGCCTCTATTTGACGTTTCTCCACTTGGTATTTTTGTAATTTTGCTTTTTATGTTAATAATTGATCGGAATTGATAAAGTATGGCTGAAACTATAACCATAAACCATAAAAGTATCAGTGCAATGCAATAAAAATTGTAGTTTCCAGAATTGTCTTTTATATCTGAACAAGGAATTGGTAGATGAACTTCTCGGTTCATGTGATCTAAAATATCAAATTTTTGGTCATATTGTTTTGTTTCGCATGGAGGTTGCGTTGATTTTTGTAGATTTTTCAAATATTCTTTGTACTCTGGAAGTTCGTCTGTAGAAGGGTTAGGACCAAATTTTAAACGTAAATAATCTCTGTACTCGGGATAGTCATCTGCATCATACATACAGGGTATGGGTTTTGTTTCACAATAATTTAAAAATAATAAAATATTTATTAGCAAAATAAAAGACAAACAAATAATTTTTGACATTTTTTTTAAAAAATTTTATAAATGATTTTTAAATTAATAAGGTTTTTCTTTTTATACTGAAATATCACTGGTTATTGTTCTGTTTCTGTCTAACATCAATAGCGAATCAACTTCACCCATAGCTATTAAAACAACCCCTCCCTGTGGAATCGGTTCATTAAAAGACATTTTTACACTTGTTGTTCCATTCTTTATTAAATCAAAAGTCTCTGGGCCATTATCTTCCTGACTATTAGTAAGATTAAATACTAATAGACAAAATCCACCAGTTGAAAAACGTTGCATTGAAATTCCATTGCTATCTAAAGTCCCCGCGTAGCCTATAGCCTCTTGCATATCATGATATATTCGCACATACTTGCCGTTTGGGAAATCAAGAGAATAAGGGGAAGCTGGATAATTCACCCCTCCGGCATTAATTGATATATCTCGTAAATTAAAATGTTGAAAATTAAAAGGGTGTGTCTTTTGAGATCCAACAAAATCGGAATTCTTAACCATTCCAAGGACCACCCTCCTCGGTACTTGATCCATCCATAAATTAGCATTAAATTCTGCTCGGCTCTCACTTATGAATAGTGATTTTAGTGAAGTTTTTCTCATTGGATATCGTGCTGGTTTCAATTCTAATTTCTTTGCTATATCGAAGGCAAGACTGTCCATAAGTTCAATTTTCTTAATATATAATTTGCATGCAAGTACTTCTAAATGATATTTATGATTAGTTGCTCCTGGAGCAACAATGAGGAAATTTGAATCATGGGGCAAAAGTTCAATATCCACTTCACATTGATTAACTAGATATCGGGGTTGATTGCAAATGTCCACGTCTAATTTTGCCATAAATTGTGCTGATCTTTGTGTGCCATCAGCTGATGGTGCAAATAAAAGTCTTCTATTCTCGAAACCAACACCATTAAGTCCCATATCACCATCATCGTAATACCCGCGGCGGATAGGTAAGAATTTTTTACTGTCTGTGGATAAGTAAGCTCATAGTCGAAAATACTTTTGTATGCCATAAGTGAATTTCCTTCAAAGATTTGAGTTCCATTTATACTGATACGACAATTTTTCCAAATTGTATGCCCAATAAGTTGACAGCAGGAAACGTTGTTGTCTGCAGCCTCCAGATTAGTTAGACGTCCATTTTCATCTTCTTTCCGAATTCTTAACTCGGTCAAAACATAACATTTTGCTAGGTCAACATAATTTGTGCTTGCGTGGATTTTAAAATGATATGGTGTAATATTAATTGGGTTAAGAGTAAGAAGCTCAATTACTGAAGAGCTAGTAACACTGACATTAGTGTTTGGAGTTTCAAAAAATGAAAGTGCATTTGTAATTGCATTAGCCGAGTCCCGATCAATTTTATTATGAGTAGACATTTTTTCTTCTTAATATAATCCGAATGTATCAATTTTCTTTCTTTTCTTTTTTTGATGGTTTGAAGGGATTTTTCCTACAAATATTTGACTATTATTTTCTGTTGTAAATGGGGAATGATTTTTCCTTTTTGTCTTTGCTCTTTTTATACTATTTTTTCTGGCACCCGTGCCAAATTGTTTTGGGAGTCCTCCTTTCTCTAACAGTCTGTCTAATCCACGTTTTCCTTCATCTATGACAGTATTCTTCAAATTGTTTACAGTTTCCTGCGTATGAGGATTTTCTACTCTTTCTAAAATTCTTCCTCCAGTATTTAGTGCTTCCTTAGCTACTGCTGTTCCAGCTCGTTTCGCATACGGCAACAGGAATCGCCAAAAATGTCTTAGAACATCGCCGACACCCCCTCCTGTTTGTCTTCCATATCCACGTTGAAATGGCACATTGCCCCGAAAATAATGATAAGAATCTCCATTTTGAATACCCCCTTCACCAATTTGTATGGAATTATAGAAATCATCATACCCTACTTCTCTCGTGTCGAATGGAATATGTACCATTTTTAAATAAGTTTATCAATTAATAAAATAATTTAATTTTTTTAACAATGATTTATGAATTATGAAAAAATAATAATTATGAAATGTATTTGAATAAAAATTACAATTTAAAATCTTAATACTTTATTAAAAATCAATGTCACTATAACTGTTCCATGATCAAATTTCACAAGACTTCCATTCATCCATCTTAGTTCAATTTCAATCTCATTAATCTCTCTAGGCAACACTGGTATAAGCATTGGTTGATCATACACTCGTTCAACAACTCCGCCAGACCTATTTTCAATAGCCACAATTCTAAGTAAAGAACTGACAGAATTCCCCATTATTACAGTACTCGTTAAACCTTTTGAATAAACGGCAAAGCTTGTGAATCCTCCTTTAAGATCAATTCCATATTTTCCAATTTGACCGTTTACCAATGGTCCCGTGGGAAAGCCAAGAACATAACATAATTGTGAAGATATAATTATATTGCTAATCTCAGGATCATTAAAAACTAGCCTAAAACGATCAATACTGTCCAAATATTCAAATTCAATGTCCGAATGTAAATCTTTTAGATGAGATTCCTTTTCTTCAATCATCGTAACTGTCTTCTCTTTAATGAGATCATCAATATTTTGTTCATCCTCTTTCTCATGAAATATCTCTTCTGTTGGTATAATTTCTACTGAGGAATCTAAATCTAAAACTGGAGTTCCTCTACTTTTCTCCTCCCAACTTTCTTCTTCTTCTTCAAAACTTTTCTCATCAGGTACTGTACCTTCCTCTTCATCTATTGGTTGCTCAAGGGGTATAGGTTGCCCATATTTATCTATTCTTCTTGCATGCTTTAATTGTTCCTTGCTTTTTTTAAGCTCTCTATCCTTTCTTTCATTTTCCTCTGACTCTCTTGCCTTGTCCTCCTCATATCCATGTCTGTCCTTGACAACTTCAACCATTTCATCTGTAATTTCGGGAGCAGGAATTGGTACAGGTTTGCCTTGATCATCTATCTTTAGGGCATCTTCCAAATACTCGGGATGAGTTTTCTCTTCAATTTTTTGCATCTCCTTAATTTCATTTCTAGTTGGGGGAATTGGCAGCTCAAAATTTTTCCACTTTTTGTATGCCTCATGATGTATCGCTGTAAATCTATTTCTTCTGTATGAAGCCAATTTATTTAACTGATCAATATCTTTACTTAGTTTATTTTTTTCTCCTTCATCTTGTTCTTGTGAATGTAAATCTCTTTTTTCTCGAATTTGCCTGTGTAATTCCTGTAGATCACCTAAATTTTTCTTTAATGTTGTCCAATGATCTTGAGGATGGTCTTCAAAAAATTTTTGGACAAACTCTGAGTGTGTATTCGAATTTTGCTCATGAAATTCTTCCCTACTAATTTTAAACTCTCTTTCAATTATTGCGGATTCCAGTGCTTCCAAGTTTTTTCGCATACGCTTAATTGAATTAATAAATCTTTGAATTTCTTCTCCAGAACGAACATTTTTACCACCCTCTTCTCTGCTTTCTTTAATTTTGTCTTCAAGTTCAATGTATCTTACTATTATATTTATTTCCATTTTTATTACTTCCTCATGATAATCATCTGGGTGTTGTTCCAAAAATTCATTTGCTATAAGTCGATCATTACGCCTATCTCTCTTATTAGCTTCCTCTGTTAAAAGACGAATTTCCTTCTTTTTACCTTCTGAAAGGGATTCTAGGTGATCAAGTTCTTGCTGAAATTCTTCCTTCTGTATATCATCCTCCTCATTAAGAACTTGTTTTGTTTTTTCTTCTACCTTAACCTTATGTTGTTCCAAATCATGTTCATAATCGCGTATGGCTTCCCAATAATTGTGTGGATACTGATTAAAAAATTCCTTTATCCATAATGGCACACTATATACTTTCTCTGCCTCTCTCTTTCTTCGTTTCTTAATTGGGTCCACCACAAAATTAATTTTGGGGTCAATAATAATTTCATCCTCTAAAGTATCAATTAATACATCACGTCTTTTTCTAGATTTTTCTTTATTGGATAATACAAGTTTGAGAAAGAAGCTGAGTCCATTGGGTGTTAATTGTGTTGTTTTGGGAATTCCAATTCTATGTGGTTTTTTGTTTTTGTAATTAATTTCGATCCACTGTTTAACGTCGGTTCCTATTGTAGCAGCCCAAGACTGAGGATATTGAATGCTATATAGACCACAGACCCAATTCCCGCCTTGGAATTGGATAGGTTTTGCCAAATGTGACCGAAATTTATTAGGTTTATTGTCTGAATAATCACTGACGTTGCTGGGTAATACAACAAAGAAAGTATTTTCCATTTTAATTAGATTTTATTATTTTAAACTAAATGATTTACAATAATGATTTACAATAAATAACAAAGAAAATAATTTAAACAAATTGTGATTCATTGATCCATTCGGGGTCGGGATAATCAAAAAAATTTTACAAGATATTCTTTACTTCCATCTTTTTTATTTCTTTTACGTATGATTTTCTCAATTCTGTAACTCGTATATTCATCCTTTTTTACTTTTGTCAGCTCCTCTGGGTAAAAGTATCCTTCAAATTTTTCTCCTTTTTCATCTCGAACACGATATCTGTTGGGGTTAGCCTTATTCTTTACAAGATCAACCTGGAGAATTTCATCAGAGTAGTTGGGAAGATATCCTTTTGAAAAAATATTCTTGTTCCGACTCATGCGTACGTAATCATCTTTTTGGAAACGTGTCTTCTTATTATTCGGGTTGACACCTATTTTTCCATAAAATTTTTTCCTAATTTTTCGAGCATTTTTAAAACTAATATCCACAGGTCTCAAGCCTCCTAGTGCGCGACTTTTTGAGTGATTTATTGCATCCACAATTTTATGTAGAGCTTCTGTCCATTTTAAAGTATGTTTTTCGCTCATGTATCTATAAAGCCTTTGTTTTATATTACGAATGCAACGTTCAGCTAAAGAAGCTTTGACTGTTGAAGCATTAGGTGTGAACTTCTCAATATCCTTTTGTTTAAAAAACTCCATCATTTCTTTGCTTGTAAACTCTGTACCCTTGTCACTAAATATTCGGTGGGGTAGCATTTCCATTCTTTGTAAAATATTTTCGAATGCTGGGACAATGTCCTTTGATTTTTTGGTTCGTACTGGTTCAGCAAAAACCCGTTTGCTCAAAACATCAATTGAAACAAGTGCATAATTATAACCATTATTTTGCTTTGACAGTTTTTGAAAATCTGCCAAATCACATTGAACATCTGTCAAATAACCCGCGGGCATAGTTCTTGATCTTTTGAATCTTACACGTCGTGGCCGGTGAATTGTATATGTCCGGTTTCCTTCCAGATATTCTATTACATCCTTCTTTCTAATTCTTTTATCTTTTTTCTTTGCCTCAATCAATAATTGATTAACACCGGCAAACCCAGCAGGGTTTGCTGGATCATTATAAATTTTATCTAATATCACTTCCACTCTGCTGGGAGTCTCCATTCTTCAGATAATGATTGCTTCGGTTTTTTAATTTGAGATAATTTTTGTTTTGCTATATTGATTCTTTTTGGTGTAATTTGCACCCTAGCTTTTTCAATTAGTTCCCACATTGTTGGGTCATTTTTCAAACGCTTCTCTAGGATTGATGTTCCGGGAGGAGAAAGCTGATTCCATTTATTTTTACCAGTAAAATCTGACCGTATTATGCAATCAAGAGATTTTTGAACATTACTTCCGAGAATTTCCCTTGTTCCCCCTTCATTTAAAATTTTGCCATCTTTATTTATATTAAATTTATCAATATTATTCTTCAACAAATGATATATTTTGTAAATCCTTTGATTTAATTTCGATTTCAATGTCCTTGAAGTCCTGGGAGTCTCAGCATCACTACCCTCATCTGCTGTATACATAGCATCCTCTTTTATTTCTTCTTCCAATTCCTTTTCATTTATCAATGGTTTTTCATTTTGATTTGAAGCAATTTGTGGTATCAACTGCTTGATTTGATCGAGTGCTGAATTATCAAGTTGACGAACTGCCACACCTGTTGGTGTTTGATTTTGTTCTTTTAGCATGTGTAAATATCTTCGTAGTTCTTGGTTGTAATTTATATTTTTTAATTCATTATTCACGCGTTGTCTTTTAATTGTGTCCAAATTTTTCCTTGTATAATCCAAATTTATGTTCCCAGTTTCTGTAACTGGCTGTGTCAGTAACCCACGATAAATATCTTCTGGAACAAGAAGAAATTTATTGGCCATTTTTGTTTGTGGTTAAATTTTTCGCGAGTTCAATTATTATCGGTGTAATTAATGCTGGGAATAGTCCTAGGGGCAGACCGTTTCCTTTTTGAATAACAAGCTTTCGTGCTCCTCGTTCTGTTCTCACACGGCCAATACGGCGTACAAAATCTGCAAATGGTACTAATCGACTTTTTTGTCGTTTTGTCAGTTCAAATTTATTTCTTAAGATGTTTAGACAAATTTCAGACAATGAGATTAATTGTCCAATCGTGGCTTGTTTTAATAATCGTTTCCTCTTTTGTAATGATCTTGTCTTTGCCAATTGTTTAAGAAAATGGAAATTGTTTTTTACTATTTGACTTATCATTTTAAAGATTATTTGCTTTTGGTAAAAATATTGTTGTTTCAAAATTATCCGTATCTTTTTTCTGTGAAGCAAATTCAAATATATTTGTTCTGAGTCTTAGTGATGAGTCAGAAGATGGATGAAGATCAATAAATAAATATGAAAAGTTTTCTCTTGTTGCTTGCCGATACGAATCAAGAAAATAATCTAATTTACCGGGAAATAATTGTACTCCCAAATTTCGAACTGATAAAGCACTGTTTGGGGCTCTAGTTAAAACCAAATACATTGAATTTTGTCGAGCAACACGCAGTTTCTTTTCAAATAAGTTTTGGGTGACAAATACAATGCCAAAATTTAGGTGATGGGACTTTTTTGTAAACAATTCTGAGAGATATTTTTCGTCGATTGAATAAAGTAGATCATCGAGAATTATGAGTGATGGCTTTTCTTGAGTTTTTATAACCTCTTCTGGTGGAACTCCTGAATAAACAGCTATTCCTTCTCTCTGCAAATCGGAAACTAAGGAATTGTATTCTCCGTAACAGTACAAGATTGATTCTGGAATTGGGTCAATCACTTCTTTTGCATTTACAATTAAACTTTTAACAAACGTACTTTTACCACTTGAACTTGGCCCACTAATAATACACCCAAATGGTAATTTCAACTTGAGATCGTTTCTAGAATATGTTTGATAAAAACTAATTTGATTAATCATTTTTTTGTAATTGAAATAATTTATTATTTAAAAATTCAGGGTTAATGTGCAAATTGTAATTTTATTACGTATTAAATAAATTATAAATTACATGAATATAAAACAGAAAATTTTTTAAAACAATTTTACAAATTTCTGAAAAAATCTATAATATTTGAAATCGGAGGTTCATATAAAAATCGCCATCTTGAATACATTAAGTAATCTGTTTTATTGTGTTTTCCAAATTTGAACTTCTTGTCCCAAAGGTCCCAACGTAGAATCCATCGTCCCATATTTTTTATTTCAACTTGTCTGGCTAAATCTTTCTTTTTTGGGTAATAGACATCTTTTATAAACCATATTTTATAACCATACAGTCTTATTCAGTGATTTATCACTCAATTTATTGTGTGTTTCAAGCTCTCCCAAATTATTTACACCTTTGTTAGGAAATATTGGTGGCGGTGTCCTTCGCCATATTGGTATTTCCGCTGAATTATTTTTATCTATGCTAGGAAATATTGGGGGCGGTGTTCTCCGCCATATTGGGATAGGCGTCCTCCTATATATTGTTGTCACTAATTCTCTCTTCCCGGTTTTAGCGTCCATTGGTGGTGGTGTTTTCCGTCAAATTGGTATTTCCTCTGAAGTATCTTTATCTCTGTTAGGAAATATTGATGAAGGTGTTCTCCGCCATATTGGTATAGGCGTCCTCCTATGTATTGTTGCCACATACTCTTCTCTCTTGTAGGGTTTGGAGTCCCAAGTGTCAGCCAATAAGGACGGGATTGTTATTAATATGATCAAAAATTTTAACATTTAGCCAGTAGTTTTTTATTAAAATATATTAGTACTTGTTGACAGCTTTATTATGACAAATTTTAATAGGTTCTGCAAGTTTTATATTTTTTAATAATCTATTATGATAATGATAAATTAATTTTAAATGATAAATTACTCTTTTCCAAAGATAAAAAGATGGCAGGAAATCCCTAAACATTTAAGCTTCTTTTATTTTAGCACTTTCGCTCAAGATCCTTTTGGCTCTTTTATTTTACCGCACTTCCTTTTCGATAATATTAATTTTAAAAGTTCGATTCAGCCCCTTTGTATTTACCGCAACTTCAGCCGTCACAAATATCAGTATTTCAATACCCTTAAAATACCCGCAAAATATTTGTCAAAAGGTAATTAATCATTCATGATTAATTACCCTAATTAATCATGATTAATTACCTCGAATCAAAAGAAAAGTGCCCTATAGGCACAGAAATACCTCTCATTCACACTCAAAAACCCCCTATAGGTGTGAGTTTGATTGACAGGTGTCACTTTTGGTGTCACTTTTGGGTGGGAGTAACTACTGAGGAGGTCTATAAACTCTAAAAGTACATACACATGTTCATTCTAAAAGTAAAATTCCCTCTAAAACTTTAATTATATTTATATATTTTTAAATTTGAAAATCTGATAGTTTCAAGGTTGGTAATTTTTAAAAGAAGTTAAAAAAATTTTTTAATGTTTTTTTGTTATTTTTAATTCTAGGGTGGATAATTTAAGAGGGATATTTATGGAGGAGAGGGGGGGTATTTATTTGTTAATTTTAGGTAGGGGATATCGGGGTATAGTGGATTTGGCTGTATAAGAGTTGCGGGATTAAACGGTGGGATTATTGTTGGATTTGGATGATTATTGTTGAATTAATGTGAATGGAAGGGTTAAGAGAGATTCGTTTTTTGGAGGGATATCAGGAAGCCTTTTGAATCGAAAAAAGAATATTTAAAATTTTTTATTAAAACAAGAAACGTTAAAAAATTGTTTAAAAAATTTTAAAAAATATTTTTTTAATTAAATTCTTTTATTCTTATTCGCCTGTTTCGCGTCTTATATTTGGACTAAAATTTAAAAAAAAATAATTAAAACTATTTTAAATTATTTACTTTAATTCTGACATTCTTCTCAAATATTTTGTTTCTTCAAAACTTTTTAATTCAACTTCTGATATTCTTTTTTCTCTTCTAAAAAAACAAATCAGAATTTATATTTTAAAACTTTTTTAAGAATAATTTTTCAGAAAAACAATTCTGAAAAAATCAGAATTTATCTTTAAAATAATTCTGAAAATTATCCGGAAAATATAATTATTTTTAAACTTTTCCGGAAAACAATTCTGCAAATAAATCAGAATTTAATTTTATTTTAAACATGTTCTGGAAATAATTAATTCTAAAATAATTCTGAAAACTTTTCCGGAAAATAATTCTGATATTAATTAAATAAATATTTTTACCTTTGTCTCAGACTTAAAGGTCTCCATTGAACAGAAATAATCATAAAAATAAAAACAATTAAAGCAATTATAAAAATAAAAATTGAAAATAAAAGCATTAAAAATCGTTGATGATAAGAAGCACAACAACTTGAATTTTGACATTCAAAAGCAAAAATATGTTGGGAACAAATTGAAGAAGAGGGGGATTCTGTTGTTTGCTGTAATAAATTCTCTTCATTTAATGGAGTTGACGACATTTTTTAATTAAATTTTATTTTAAATAAGTCTGAAATTTTAATTTATTTTCTACATTATTTTTTGATTTGAAAGTTTTTCGGAAAATATTATAAAATTATTTTTATAAATATTTCCGGAAAATTTTTTAAAATAAGTCAGAATTTATCTTTAAATAATTCTGAAAATTATCCGGAAATATAATTAGTATTTTTAAAACCTTTCCGGAAAAAATTCTGAAAAAATCAGAATTTAATTATTATTTTTATGTTATTCCGGAAATAATTCTGAAATAATTCTGAAAACTTTTCCGGAAAATAAAAAATCTTGAATTATCACTAAAATAATCCCCAACTTTTATTTAATTCTGAAATTTTGTGAATAATTCAGAAAAAATATTTTTTTTCTGAAATTGTTTCAAAAAAAATTTTTTACTTTATTTAAAGTTAAATTAGTAAAATAATGCTACTAACTAATTTAGTAGTGTCCTCTTTCAAAATAAAAATAAAATGCATTAACAAATAAAGTACTTTTTTTCCTTTTTTCATTTTGCTTATTTTCTCATTTCCACATTTTCTCTAGCTTTTTCTAAATATTTTTTTACAAATTCATTAGCATCCTCTCACCGGTTTTGGTTAGTTACCGAGGAGTTTTTCGAAGTCCTTTTTTTAAAAAAAGTGAGGATTACTAATTTCGTTTCTAGGTTAAAAATAAAAGGGAAAAATGATTTTTTAATTATTAAATTTTTTTAAATAAATTTTAAATAGAAAAATTTTTGGAGAAAAAGACAATATACTGGGTATTTTATAGATAAATTATCAGAAAAGGTTAACTTTTATAAAAGTTTCAGAACAAATAATTTCGGAAACGCTTCCTCTAAATAAATGGTAAATAATTAAAATCAGAATTATTATTTAGTTTATTTACCCGATTAATTCCCTCGGGAAATTATTTTCAACCCATTCGTGGCAGGGGGAGGGAATCGAGTAAACACGGTATGTATTTCTGAAAAGAATTCTGATTTTTAATTTAATAAAATGTTTAGGTATATTTGTTACCAAAACAGAATATTAAAATATTTTCCGGAAACTTTCCGAAAATATTTACAAAGTTAATTTTCAGAATTGTTTCCGGAAAAGTTGAATAAATATTTAAATTCTTTTTTGTTTAACCTAAGGAAAATAAAGGGAAAATAAAGAAACTTATATTCAAAGAATGTTTCTTTTTTTTAAGTTTCTTTAATGTTTCCAACAAAGAAAGCATAAATCATTTAAAAATGTGGAAAAAAGAAACTTTTTCAGTAAAATGAGGTTTTATTTAAAACATTGCTTTAAAAACCTATCAAATATTTTTTTAATAAAAACATATGGGGACTAGTTAATTTATTTTTTATTTATTTTTTTTACTAAATTTCTTTGAGTAAATAAAAATGGCAAAAAAATTGAAATAAAGATATTTATTTATTTTATATAAGAAAAGCAAATAACAGAAAGAAATACACAAAGCCTTAAAAAGCTTTTCCTTATTTCCCACGGAATTGATAAATTGCTTTAAATTATTTATGCCAAAATTGGGGAATTTAATATTTTTTTAAATAAAATATTGTTTTTAAGAAAAAAATTTTTCCTTTAGACAAAAAATGCTTTCAAGAGTGGTGACAATAAAAATATATACAAATTGAATAAGACATGGTCGGGTTTGTAAATATATTTTTTTGTTTTGTTTTCTTTTGTTTTCTTAAGGAAAATATACAATACATATGTATGTATGTATTGTCTTTATTTATTATTCTGAAACAAAAACAGAATTTTTGAAAAAAAAAAGAATTTTTAATTAGAAAAAAAGAAAATATTCAGAATTATAATCAGAATTTAAATTATTTTTCGGAAAACTTAGAGTTATTTCAGAATTATTCTTTCCAGAATGACATTATATGTAATAATACATAGGTAAATTCTGATTTATTTATTTCAGAATTGTTCTACAGAAAAATAAATTCTGGTTTTTTTAAAGTTACATAGAATAAATTCTGGCTTATTTATTTCAGAATTTTTTTCCGAAAAATTTAATTCTGATTTTTTAAGATTCAGAATAAATTCTGGTTTAAATTCTGATTAAAAAATAAATTCTGGTTTAAATTCTGATTAAAAAATAAATTCTGGTTTATTTCTTTCAGAAATTGTTTTCTGGAAAAGAATTCTGATTTCTTAGAGTCTAGAATAAATTCTGATTTAAATTCTGATTTAATTAATTTATTTAATCAAGTAAAGCTCTTTCTTTTCTAGCTCTAAAACACCTCAAATGTGCAAACTGTCCACCACCAACATCCTCATTATTATTTGGTATATAAACAAATTCTTCTTCTCCAACAATATTTAATAAATTTCTTTCACAAAAAATGCAAATATTATTTTCATCTAATTTAAATCTTTTTTTATTTAATTTTTCTTCCAAAAGTTTTTCTAAATTTTTAATTTCTAAATTAGCCATTTTTAAATAAATATTTTGCCAATTAAAAGTATTTAAACGATTAGAGACATGTCTATGTAAAAAATTATTTATTAATTCTGTTGAAGATAAATTATTTGGAAGATTATTTAATACTTGTTCTCCATTATTTAATTCACTTTCTAAAAGTGAAAGTAAATGGGGAATTTTTGTTTGAAGTGTTGAATTTGATCTAAAGAAAGAGAAAAAATATATTTAAAAAATTTTAAATAAATATAATAAAGCCCTTGATCCTCCGCCTTTCAGAAGAGATTTAGAGAGAATTAGAAAAATCCATTTTATGTATCTGGATTTTGATCAAAGGCGGGTAGAAACAATCAGAGGTGTCGGAAATCAGAAGAACCGAAAATCGGAACTGGCTTAAAAATCGGAACTCGGACCGGGGTTTCAACCAAAAATAATTTTTTTTAATTTCTTTTAAAAAATACTTGGAAATAAGTAAATGTAAAGTCAACAAAGGTTTAAGCATTTCCGGACTTGGAAAACGCGTACAAAGAAGTTCAGCAGCATCAACTAATATTTCACCCATATTCTCATTTAATTCAAAAATATTAGCCAATTCATTTAGACACTCGATAGAATTATTTTCCTTAAGAAAAAATTAAAAAAAAATTTCTTTTTAATTTTATTTTCGGACAAAATATCCAAAACGCTCAATTAGGGCTAGGGACTGTACGAGTACCACCTCATTCATAAATTAAGGTAAACCACACTATAAAATACAATTTTCAACTCATCAAGTGAGGCCAAATTATTACAATGTATAAAAATCAAAATTCTCTTACATTTGCCCTTATAAACAATTTTTCCACAAAAAATTCATCTTTGTCTTTTCCTTCTTTAAATAATTTCAAAGCTTTTGTTTTATCATAAAAAGATGAAAAAAGTAAAAAATTCCAAATTTTATTCCTCAACTCAAAATTATTTTTTAGTTTTTGTTGTTTATATTTTTGTGTTGATAATTCAAGGAATTTATTGTGTACTGAAGTTGTTGAACCCTTTAAAAAAATAAAAGAATTTTATTTAAAAAATCGCTGGGATAGAGTGGACTAAAGGATTGATAGAAAATCAAGACGATATCTTGAATTTATATTTTTAAACCAAATATCGTTCCAAGTCCAATCTATAGTAAAAAGTCTTATTCTTCCAAATTTCCCCGTTATTCTTTTCGTCCATTTTCCGATCACAATTATTTTTTCAAATTTTTATTCTGCAAAAAAACCGTTTTTTAAAGTTTTTAAGGTTTATATCGGTATTGGGATATTTCCAAGAAACATTGGGTTGCTATAATTTTGGAATCAAGAAAATAATTTGTATATAGAAAATACATAACAAAAATAATTAAAAGAATAGGTTTAGCCCATAATTTCTACACAATAGATACCCCTAATCAACTAATCCTAATCAACGGAACATATTTAATTAATTAATTACCAATTCATTAATTCCTTTTTTATCCAAATAATTATAAATTAATTCATCAAAATCTTCATTTTTAAATAATTCAATAATTAATTCTGGAAGTAATTTAATTTGTTTATTATTCTCCAAATATTCTATTCTTTCCATACACAAATTTGGATTTATTGGAATTAACCAAACAAGCACAGATTTTAATAAATTAACATCTTCAATACTTAAATTGAATTAAGTAATGAAATATTTTATTATTTATCCAAAGATTTAAAAGTCTATAAAAATGTCTTTTTTGAAGGCTCGTTCCAGGTATTCAAACGATTTTATAAAAAAATTATAGTTTATATAGATAGCACTCCCGAAACCTCGGGGGCGGGATCGTCGGGGATCGCGGTTTTCCGGGGGTAGAGACGTCGGGGTTTCGGAGGACGGGATGCTACATACCCTACATACCTACATACCTACATAGATGCTACATACCTACATACATACATACCTACATACCCTACATACTACATATGCTACATATGCTACATACATATACATATCCTTCATGCCTTCATCAACATTATTAATTTTATTTTCCTCAAAAATAATTTTTTTTTACATCTCCGATTTTTACATCTCCGATTTTTTTGGTCGTTTTAGGAATAAAACGACGGGAAAATTTAAAAACATTAAAAAGAAACGAGACTGTAGTACTTAATTAAAGATCATCATATCAAGTATTTAGAAAACATCTTGTTTTGCCAACAAATACATTTTAAATAATAATTTAATTTATTTACCTTTCCAAAGCCTCAAAACAACCATTTAAAGCCAATTCCTTCATGCCTTCATCAACATTATTAATTTTATTTTCCTCAAAAATAATTTTTTTCCAATAATTAAAAGATTCTTCCAAATTTCCTTCTTCAAAAGCCAATTTTGCAGCAAAATTCAAATTTTGAGAATTTTTGTTAATTAACCACAAACGAAATTTTTGTTTATTCCAAATATGTTTTGTATTTAATAATTCTTCATTTAAATTATTATTTTGATTTAAATATACAAATATTCTAGCTAATGAACTTTCTATTAACTGAAAAAAAATTTTAAAATTAATTAAAATATTTATTTTCGAACGAGGAAATAACTCCTAGAAATTAAAAATTACTCCAGGATATGGAATCTCGTAAATGCATTTTGTCTATTATTAATTTTAAAAATTTTATTTAATTTTTAATAATTTTATGGAAAAGGGAAATACAGTTAACGCTTAATAGACGGCTAGTATAATATCTATTAAAAGAGATGGTGAAGGTAGTGCCACCCAGGTAGCTCAGAGTGAATTAATGCCTGCCCTGGGCTAAACAAGGAACAATCAAGTATACGGAATATAAAAAAAATATTAAAAAAAAGTAGACTAAGAAAATAAAGTAGAAAAAAAAGGGAAATAGACTCTACCGAATACTTACCTCATTATTATTTTTGGATGTTCTTATTCTAAGTAAATAATCCTTTACTAATTCAATAGGAGTAGTTAACCCAACGGGACCTTCGCCCTAAACAAACAAACCTTAATCCCTTTAACATGTTTTTCGGCAACATCAAAGGATAAATTGTTCGAAATCCTCTAATCCTTTTAACATGTTTTTGCGGTAACATAAAAAGATAAATTGTTCGGAAACCCCTAACCATTAAAGCAAACAAACTTAAATGTTTAAATATTGTTTTTCATAAACAAATTTTTTACAAATTATTTTCTCCCTTTTTCTTAAAAATTTGGGTCATTTTTCCCTTCGTTTGTTTTTCTTTTCTTTTGCTGCAAACTTTAAAAGTGCGCTATTTTTTTGTTTACTGGGTATTGTTAGTTATTTTTCTTTATTTTTCACACATGTTTCTTACTTTCATTTTAAGCGGTAATCAGGCAATACAAAAGGAATATGGAAATATATGATTTAATAAAAGATAAAGAATGGACAACGTTTGGTATGTTTACAAAAACTTTTTTCACATTCCTAGGACCAGATCATTCATTATTATTACTTACTAATTTTTGAAAAATGACAAATATTTCCTTAATTTCTGAAAATTTACCTACTAATCTGTCTTGGGTAAAGGTGGATAACTGTATCTGTCCTCTTCCAAAAAATTCTTGCTATAGGCCATACTTGTATACAAAGCCTATACAATGTGTGCATGAGAACATTCAGGATATAGGGGAGTTTCTCCAAAATCCAAAATCTGATAATATTTTTCCTATTATTTTAATCTTCCTGGGGTTAATTTTGACAATTCAGGTATAACATTAAGATTCCTTTTTATCAATTTTAATTAAGTTTTTGACTTGTCTTTTACAATGTTGTGGTAAATTATCAAAGAAAGGGACGCGGGGACGTTACAGAGTTTCAAAAGACACTGGAACTGTGGCAGGTGATTTGTGGATAAAATAACAATAATTCATTTCATTTTTTAGTAAAGCCTGGGAAACCCCGAAATCGTCAACCAACAATGCCTAAACCATTGAAGGTTGTTTGCCATCCAAATAAAGTGGAGGTGACAGAGATTGAGGTAAGAACTTAAAAATAATTCAAAATAATTTCAAATAATTTGCAGTTAGAGGAAGTCAAAATCGAGGAGACCCGCCTTTAATGTGAATTTTTATGAATAAGAATTAAAATGAATATTAAATAATTAATAATTTTTTCAAATTTGAAGTATTTTTATTTTATGAAGAAAATTAATTGCAATAAATTGTTTATTTGAAAATATAATCGTTTAATACAAATAAATGAGGGAGTAGAAAAATATAAGAATGGTAGATGAGAATTCGTTAAGCTAGGATGTTGAATAAGAATAGGGTTTAGAGAAGTAAGGGAAATTAAAATAATATTTAAATTGAGGGAAAAATAAATTAAATAAAAATTGAGTTTATTAAGACATTATTTTCAAAATTTAAATCAAATATAATACATTGGTACATCAGGCTTGGAGCCGGACTTGCTGGTGTCTCGTCGTTGGTCCAGTTGTGTATTGGTGATGAAGCACCAGAGTCAATAATTGTCTCATTGACCAATTCTTCATCTTCCGCCTCTTTCTTCATATCCTCAATTTTCGAAAAAATTTTAACTTGCTCCCCAGTCATGCAAATCCAAAAAGTCTTAATATAAAAATTAATTAAAATTTTTATTAAAATTAAATTCACTTTTGGTATTCGGTCTATACCAGGAAGTATAATTTCGCCAGTGCGTTGATTGCGGAAGAGTCCATTTTTGATATCAGTTGAACCTTGCCTTGCATGAAAAAAATACCATGGACAAATATCAGTTAAGATATCATCCGTTTGATTATTTTTGTCAATCTTAATTTAAAAATTCAAAAAATTTATCTCAATAAAACCCACATTTTTTTGTTTATCCTTAGACCAACACTCTTCAAGTGTGAGTTGTTTTTGCTTGGACATTTTAATTAAATCAGGAAAAATTTAAATTAATTTCTAAATTTTATAATTATTAGCAAAAAAATAAAACAAATTATTATGATCGAAAAATATATCTTAACTCAAAGGAGAATTAATTCTCGATGGAAAAAGGAGAAAATAATTGCGTAATAATAAGTGAGTGAGAGATGGCGGTTATTCATAAAATACATAAACTAAAAATTAAAGTAAATATTAAAAGGAAAATTGTATGCTGATATCCTCAATGGAATAAAATAAAGATGAAAAATGAATATAAAAGTCAACCGAGATACTTTTATACTTCCAATTAACTCTTGAGGGCGTGGTCAGTCAAGATCAGATTTTTTAAGATGGGCGTTCATTTAAATTCATTTAAAATTAGTAATATAAATAAAAAGGCGGGGTTAAATTAATTTAACCATTAAAAATAAAATTTAGATTTCTAACAAAATCTTCAAATCATTTAGTTATATCTTAAAAATAATGGCTATTAATATAAACGATAAAAAATCTCTTATCCAACAAATCCTCCCTGAGGTAGATTTTAATGTAACCAATAAAGGTTTAACTATTTCTGCTTCTCAACGCCTCTCCACACCTCGATTTATACCTTTTGACAATGTTGGTCGATGTCGTGAATGTAAGGCAACAGAAGCTGAACTTGATTTCGTTGTGGCAAAAGAGGGTGTAACATTTTATTGCTCGAGAATCAAAAGTCCTATCTTTATTCCTTTTGATACAATCTATGATCTTCCGGGGCATTGCTTTTTCAAAGTAAATTTAATTAAAAAATTTAAATAATTTTATATTTAAAATTCAGATTCGAAACAAGGCTCGTGTTTTCAATGTCATGCATGGCGAAACACCTCAATGCTTTCCTGTGCAAACACAAACCAATTTCAAGGCACATCAAAAAATTTTAAAGGAGGATAATAGAAAGGAAAAGGATGAAAGTAGTGAGAAAAATAATGAAAAGGAAGAAAATATTGGGAAAACCAGTGAAATTAAGAAAGAAGATATTGTTGATGAAGAAATGGAAGATGTTTTAAAAGAGTTTTTTGATAATATTGGAGAAGCTATAACTAGTACTCCTATTCCAGGGGAAAAGCTTCAGGAGTTGCAGGCACAGGCTATTGCAATGGATGATGAGATGAACAATCTTCTTAAGAACATCCCAATCGATCATACCCCTTTAACTCACACTTTGTAATTTAATTTTTCAACTACTAATAACTTTTTTTTTCATTTTAATTATTTTCCTTGTAATGGAATCTCTTAATTTTTCAAGTAAAGATTTAAAATTAAAATTACCCTTTGGCTTAATTATTTCTGGCCCTAGTTCAAGTGGTAAGAGTACTTTTCTTCTCAAATTCATTTCCCAAGCCGCTGATCTTATACACCCTCCACCAAAAAGTACTCTCTACTGTTTTGGTGAAATGAGCAGCATTGTTCCCAAACTTCAAAGATCGGGCGTTAGTGTTTATGCCGGTGTACCAACAGAAGATGTCATTAATCGACTTTTAAAACCCTCATTAATTATATTAGATGATTTATTGCTATCTATAGAAGAGAAATATTTATCCGAACTCTTCACCAAAAAATCCCATCATCAGAATTTTGGTATCGTTTTCGTCACTCAAAATCTTTTTGAGAAAAAAATAAAAGTAGCAAGACAAAATGCACAATATATAGTGATTATGAGATCTCCCAATTCAGTCTTAGCTGTTAGAAATATAGGTGTTCAACTTTTTCCTCGACAGCTGGACTATTTTCTTGATGCTTATAGACAAGCAACAAAAATTCCCTATGGATATATGTTAATAGATATGCATGCATCATCAGATTCCAATCTTCGTCTTCGAACAAACATATTTAAGGACGACGAAGAAAAAATTATCTTCATTTCTAAAAATGGAAAATAAATTTGAGTTTAGTCCGTTAATAAAAGAAAATGTAAAATTTTTAAATACTCTTGCAAAAACAAAATCTTCACGTAAACAACGTCGAATCATTAAACACGCGCAATCTAGTCAACTCCTAGCCTTAGCTGAAATTTGTTTGAACATTGTAAAATTAAGATATCAGCTTACGACTAGGCAGAAAAAACGTCTCATGCCTTATGCTCAATTTGTCCGCCGTTTGAGTCGTTCTAGAAGTGAAGGGGGTGCGAGAAAGTTATTAAGGAAAACTGTTTTTCAGAGAGGAAGTGGCATTGGCGGAGTGTTTGCGGCACTTCTTACACCGATCCTCATTGAAATAGGAAAAAAGATTATAAAAGGTGATAGTCTGACCGAATAATTCATTATTTCACTCATTCATATTTCATTAATTATATTATTTTAAATAATGGCGAATAAATTTATTTTAGTACCAGAGGAGATTTATCGAGGTCTTACATCAAATGATGTAGGTGAACCTAATCTAGATTTTACCAGAAGAAATTTAGAAAAATCAAAATTAAAGCGGGAAAGTGAGTCTGCTAAAAATGTTCACTATAACCAAGAGTTAAGACGTTATTTACATATGAGAAATGAACGTGAAAATAAACCAGTAAAGGTTGAGATGGTAGCTAATAAAAAAGGTGTAGTAGTACCAAAAACACGTTCTCGACCATCTTCATATATTCCAAATAACGATGAAAACGATGATATATGGCTTAGTGATGATTTATCATATTCAGCTTATCCTAGAGAACCCCCTAATTTTGCTTACAATATTGTACCTCCACTTCATGAATCACCTTCTCTTGCTTCCTTGCCCAGCAATAGACAAAATTTATTAAATGAAGGTTTGTCTCTATCACCCACAATAATTCGTCATGGTCTCAAAAGGCGTGAACAAAATAATGGAGAAATTTCAAAAAAGTTAAAATTAAACAAAGTAACCAAGTCCAAAATTCCTATTTTTAAAAGGAATAAACAAAAGAAAAGAGTGACTGTAACACCTACAGTACAACAAGAAATAAATGAACCAGCAGCAGTTTCTGCACCCTTAAGAAATTCTCCCCCTATTCCACTCACTGTTTCAAAGAGAGAGAATGATTCAGATGATTTTAATGTTGTAAAAAGAATAAAAAAACATGATAAAGCGAGGGATAAAGAATTATTAGAAAATGACCGAGAATTAAGACGCAAGGAAGCCCTTCGAATCGATAAAAAAAGAAAATTTATACAAAGAAAAAATGAAATTATAAAACAAAAAGTCCCTCTTGATTATTACGAAATACAACGATTAAACCAACTAAGTAAACCTCCCGGTAAGAATATCAAAAGAAATGGTATCTCGCCTCCTAGACCTATATCTCGTGGTGTTTTTAAAAGAAAAATTGAGGATAATGAAGGTGATGATCAGATTGCTTTAAAAAGATATAGAAAACCAGTTTCTAAAAAGGCTTCAGAACAGGCTGCTAAATTGTGGATGCAAAGAATAAAGATTAGAAATTTAAAAAATAAATGGGCAAATAGAAAACCGACACAGTCGGATATAAATAAATTTAAACCAAAGCTTTGGTAGAATAAATGGCAGATTATATAAAATTACTAGATGATTTATACAATAATCCGAAATCACCTGCTGCTTATTCAGGAATTGATAGCCTATGGTATGAGGCTAGGAAAACATTCAAACATATTCCAAGAAATGTTATTAAAGATTATTTGGAGGGTCATCGCACATATACACTTATGCGACCTAAACGTGTGCGATTTCCGAGAAGTAGAACTATTGCTGCAGGTTTTATGACAGATGTTCAGGTGGATTTAGCTGATCTACAAGCATTAGCCAGGCATAGCAAAGGATATCGTTATCTATTAGTAGGAATTGATGTTTTATCCAAGAGAATTTTTACTGTTAATTTAAAATCTAAGAAATCAGATGATATGGTTGAATCTTTTCGTCAATTAATTTCACAAATGCCTATGAAACCGCACAGAATTTTCTCTGATAAAGGAACTGAATTTAAGAATCGCCAACTTAAGGAATACTTTGAAAAAGAGGAAATAGATAAGCATGAAGCTACTCATTCATCTGTTAAAGCATCACTTGCTGAAAGGGCTATTAGAAATTTGAAACAGCGTTTATATCGTTACTTTTCGCAAAATAAAACTTTGAAATGGATTGACATTGTACAAAAAATTGTTTACGGAATTAATAAATCACGTTGCAGAGTGCATGGGATGCGGCCAATTGACATTAATTTTGAGAATGCTCAAGAAATCTGGCAAAAAATGTATGGTGGAATTTTCTCAAATAAAAACAAGAATTCTAAATCAAAATTAAACAAAGGAGATTTTGTCCGAATGAGTGTTGGAAAAGGAACGTTTGATAAGGGATATTTACCGAATTGGAGCGACGAAATACTAGAAGTGGATAAGGTTAAAGATCAATCTACTCCACTACTATACAAACTTAAGGACGATAAAGGAGAGAAATTTAAAGGGTCTTTTTACAGCCATGAACTATCTAAAGTGCGCAAAGACAAGGAGACAGAGTATAGAATAGAAAAAGTGTACAGAAAAAGAAAAAGAGCAGATGGAGCAAAAGAACTACTTGTTAAGTTTATAGGATATCCAGATAGGGAATGGATTTCTGAGTCGCAGCTAGTATAAATATTTACCCTATTTGTTATTTGTATCATTTTAATTTTATTAATAAAAATGTCAAACAATTTCTTTGTGTTTTTACCAAGTAATGTATCTGATTACCCAGATAATCAACCCAATAAATTTCGAGTTCATCTACCTAAACCAATATATTTTAACGGAGATTGGGTTTGTGGTTTGCACAGTATTAGCTATCCTTATTCGTGGCCTTCCACTATCGGCACATTAGACGATCAATGGATAAAAATAAATTTTTTTGATGAATTAAATAAACAACAGGTGCTTCGTGTGCCGATACCAAAAGCATCTCATATTAAAGTAGAAAAATTGCGAGATTTCCTTAATTCCACGCTTGAACATCAAAGTAATGCATTAGATTCAATTTTCACTTCCAAAGGCTTAGTGGATAAACCAACCGTTTTGTCTCCGCCGAAATTAGATAGAAAGAAAAGGGCCGCTGAAAATATTAGACCTATCTCACCACCTCTACAATTAAAAGTAAATAAAAAGGAAGAAAAACCTCAAAAGATTAATTCACCTCCAAGGACCCAAGAAAATATAAATAAAGGAAAGGAGTTGCGCAGTGAAGGAAAAACAAAAGAGAATGAAAATATAGATAAACAAATAAAATCTGGCTCGCTGTCAGCTTTAAAGTCGCCATCTGTGCAACTAAATAAAAAGGACGAGGCTCCTCAAAAGACCAATTCATCCCCAAAACCTGAAGCGAAAGAGTTACGTAATGAAAAAGAAAGAGAAAATGCAAATAAAATAAAAATCATCTCACAAGATGAAGTGCCAAAAAAATCGCTTTCCCTCTCACTCCCGCCTTTAAAGAGTGATGAATTACAAACAATAAGAGAGAAAAAAACACCGGCCTCAAATAATGTGCTTACTATACTAGGATTAGCTGAAAGTGAATCGGAGGATGATGCAGAAATAGAAAATAATCAAACAATAACTGTTGAAGAAGAAAATTTCTTGAATAAATCAACCAGGTTTTCAATAAGTAAATATGGGAAGAAATATAAAGGTGGAATAAAACTTCTTAAAAATATTATTGATTCTATTGAATTTCAATATAATGTAGATTTTGGACGTTTTCGTTTGATTTTTGGTCATCCTAATATTATACATATATCATTTTCATCACAACTTGGTTATGTACTTGGATTTGAAAATCCTCATAAGGTTAAACACAATGAAATTGCAAAATATGGATGCGATCTTCGAGGAGGATTTTCTAGTTTCGCGGTGTATGTAAAAGGCTTGACGGAAAATATGATTATCGGAAATTCACTAAGCTCTCTTTTAAGAGTAGTTTCTGTTGCAGGTTCTAATCCTGGTGAATATAATGAAAAGATTTACGATACCCCTATTTATGCGCGTGTACTACCTAGAGAAATAAACGAAATTGAAATTGAGCTGCGAACAATGGATAATGGAAGACTTGTCCCTTTTTCCTATGGAACAGTTCTTGTGGTATTAATATTCAAAAAAGTGATTAATTTTTAAGCAGACATTCTCGTTGCTATATAAGTGCTTTGACTTTATATATTTTTCTCATTATTTTATTCATTTAACTTTAATCAATAAAATTTTTAAAAATGGTTCATGTTGTTTTTGATACTTCTTTAATAGGTTATAATGATTTTTTCTCGCCGAAAAATTCTCAAAAATTTTTTGATCAAAATGGAAGAGGATTAGAAAGTATTGGTGGTGAAAACAATTATTCATATTTTAGAGGATCTTCCCCATTTCAAAGAGGTTATGGATTACAAGGAGGAGCGGGGATTGGCAATGTTTTCAGAGGACTTTGGCGTTTTTTCCTTCCAATTGTCAAGCGTGTAGGAACTAATGTTACTGCAGAAGCCCTTAACACAGGTCATCGCGTTCTTGAACGTGTTAATCAAGGAGAACCAATAAAAAGTGCAATAACTAGCGAAGGAAAAAAAGGAATAGATAATGTGTTAGAAAAAGGAGGATTACCTCGGCAATTCGGAACGGGATTTTCAAAATCTCACACGGCTAAAAAGAGTATAAAAGGAAAACGAAAACGAGAAATTTCAAATCATAAAATAGTTATTGGAAAAAAACGAATTAGATCGGACGCATTTGGATTATATTAAATATTTTTTAAAATGGCATATCATAAAATTGACAATGATAGTATTAACTCAGTTACAAACGCTCTTGATTTTTTTGAAATTCCTCCTACAAATGTAAGTATATCTTCAGCTAAAGTTTTTGAAATTTTGACTAGCAATCCACTCACGGATACACCTTATCATTTCAAAATTCATTCCAGTCAAAATTATATTGACTTATCAAAATGCTATTTATTTACTGAATTTCGTATTCGCAAAGCGAATGAAAATGGAGCATGGGTTAATTTGGAAGCAGGAGATAATGTTGCACCAATTCAGCTTATTGGGCATACTTTTATAAATAATATGAGGATTAGTATAAATGGCAGAGAAGTATTTAACTCGAATTCCCTTATGGCTTACAAATCCTATCTTTCCCACGAGCTTAGTTTCTCACTAGCAGCTAAAAGTTCTCATCTCAATGCAGCAGGATATTATGGAGATGTTGGATTAAGTCTAGAATCAGGAGCAGGGTTTAATTCAAGAAAGGTACGATTTGGATCAAGTAACACAGCACAGTTTATTGCAAAAATAGATGCTGATCTTTTTAATCAACCCCTATATCTTATTAATCACTGTGAAGTGGACATAGAAATATTGCCAAATGACAGCAGATTTGTTTTGATTGCTCCTCCAGTCGGGGTGGTCCCACAAGCCAACCGTTACCAATTTGAGATTTTAAATTGTAAACTTTACGTTAAAAAAGTCGATTTAATGGATGGACTAGCATTTGATATCGCGAAAAAATTAGAAATAAGCCCTGCTCGATATGCTATTCGCAAAACTATGATGAAGCCGCTTTTTATAAGTCAGGGCCGCTATGAGTTCAATGCAAATTTGTTTATGGACCAAATCCCAAGAAGAGTAATACTAGGGCTTGTTGCAAATAGTGATTATGTAGGCAATATATCACGAAGTCCTTTTAATTTTCAACATTTTAATGTCAGAGAGATAAATATAAATGCTAATGGACGAAGCTACCCTCAAGCACCATATGATTTTGATTATAGTAACGGAAAATTTGTTAGGGCATTCAATGATATGAATGAAGCTATTGGATTTGGTAATTCTATGGAAAGTAATGGTATTACTTTCGAACAGTATGGATATACTCATGCAATATACGTTTTTAATTTAACAAACAGTGGGGAAGATCAAGGGGGGCTTTTCGATCTAATTAGAAACGGAACAACAGCGGTCAATATTAAATTCAGCAAGCCAGTTCCCGATGGAGGTGTGATGCTAATTGTAATGGGAGAAGCAGATTCACTTATAATGTTGGATAAGAATCGAACAATAACCAGTGATACAACCATTTAATAAACTCATAATTGTAAATTATAAAACATTTATATTTCGTAATAAATATTTTCATTATTATTATTATTGGAAAATAAAATAAAAGTAATTAAGTCTTGTAATTTTTCTCAAAAAATATTTTTATTAATTTAAATACTTTAGAAAATGTATTCCAAAACAATTATTCAAAATATATTATTTATTCATATAATTTTTCCAACCTCTGCCTTAGTACTTAGTGAAGATTCAAATCTCAAAAGTCTTCCTGAATATTCGGAATATTTAAGAAGGATAGGTTATAACAAAACTAGAGATATAATAGGGAAAGATATAAAGACAACAAAGGAACCTAAGGTTAAAAAGATGGAATCACCTATTGCTCATTTTGCTAATTTCCCTTCGATTCAATTATGCAAGGATGCACCCACCTCAAGTCAAGGTTACTACACTAATATATATTGCTGGGTGATGCTTGCTCTTTACGTTTTACTCATTCTAAGTCTTATTATATATCAGTTACGTTCAATTATTTGGCTAAAATCTACAATTCCTAATAATAAAAATAGTGTTCAAAGAGTAAATTTATGCTCTATATCAATTGATGATGATCAGCTTGCAGATAGAAAGAATTTTGAACTCAAATCTCCAGACAAAAAACAATTTTCTGGGATGTCTGCCATGCGATAGTCTACCTAGCCCATCAACACTCAACTACCCAGTATCTTTTATAATGAATTTTGACCCAAAAAGAATGGAAGGATCACACTGGGTTGCCATTTTTGCTGAAGGAATTGATAAAGAAGTTCTTTACTACGATAGTCTAGCCCTATTTTCATTCGAAAATCTTAATAAAAAATGTCAGATTTCAAATTTTCTAAAACAATTTCCAGCAATTGTAAGAAATAGAAGAGCTTATCAATCCTATTCTTCGAACACATGTGGTCAACATGCTATCTGCTTTATCTATTTTTTATCTTTAGGTCAGAAATATGAACATTTTTTAAATATATTAGAAAATACTCACACCCCAGATTTATTTGTTGAAACATTTGTAAATAAAATGATAAAAAATTTTTAATAATGAAATGTAGCGTATTTAATGATCTGAGCACACTCAGAACAGACAAAAAATTTATAAGAATAAGTGTTCCCTTCTAAAAGCTTAATTATTTCTTCTTGATCCATATCAAAGACTGTTTCGCGACATTGGCAACACCACGTAGAAAGTTCGTAATTATGATCCAAAAAGATCCAGAACGAAGACAAATCCAATTTCTTCCCATTTTTGATCACTTGATTTATTTCTTTGATTGCTGGATGCCATGGGCAATCCCAAAATTCAGCCGTTCCCTAAAAATAAATTTATTAAATAAAATTAGATAACAATAAAATTTTAAAAATCGACCTCTACAGTTTTTTGCTCAACATCTTTAATGTTCAAAGACGAGAAAGTTTCTTCCATTAAAATTCGAAAATATTTTTATTTTTAAAAGACTTAAGTATAAAAAATATAAGTAACAAAAAAATATAAGTAATAAAAATAAAAGTGATAAATAAGAGTTTTTATATGCTGCAAATGTTTACTTAATATGTTAAATAAAAAGAATATTATTCTATATTTGAATTCGCCGAGATTTTTATTCATCCGTATTAGTCCTGGCCGCATCTTTTTAAAGGAATTTCAAACGAGATTTAGTTATTTTTTAATATAATGGAAGACAAATAAAGAGAAAAGTTCGTTTTAAATGCCGCTAAAAACACCTGTTGTTAAAATTTTTGTATTTGCTCAAATTGAGCTGGTGTTTGCTTTATAAAAAAATGAGTTCAAATATTTTCATTTATGTGAAAAGATATATATATATATAGGATAGAAAAGCTATATTGGAAATCATTCTTGAATATTTATAAAAAAATGAGCTCATCTCGGTCATCATCGCCGAAAACAAAACGATCAAAATATTCCAATAAATTTTATATTGAAAATATATTAAATCCATTTTTCCCTAATTCTCAAGAAATACCTCAATTTTCGCCTAATTTTGGTATTACTCAACATGGTACAGGTATCCCTAACCCTGAAAAATATGTTGAACAGTTAGAAAATATTTCTCTCCACAATCCAAAGTTCCAACTCTTCAAGAAACGTATAAAATTTCAAATTAAAGACTTGCCTGCTGATCCTGAAGGTTTACTAGCTGGTATATTTATATAGAATTATAATAATATTACTAATATTTAAGGTATTTTTCAATATTGCATTGATGAAGCGGTAGACCAAAGTGATCATGAGGGTGTAAATCCGCTTAAACTTGGATGTATAATTAGTAGTGAATTGCTTGATCCAGATGTTTGGATTCCAGTGCGTGAGATGAACGACAATACAGTTGACGCAATACTTAATCGATTTCTACAAGTGGGCCAGAGTAAAAAACAACAGGATATTACACTTTGGGGTAAACCATTTACTGTAACATTGACAACGGTAGATCGCAGTGCTCTTCCAGAAAAGAGAAAAATTACTGGTGGATCTTCTAGAAATCGAAAACTTGCTCCAGTTCATCACCGAATCGATAGTCAATGTTTAATTAAGGTAATTTTAATTTTAATTTTTAATAATTTAAAAAAATTTTAGGTAAATAACTCGAGTAATTATTGTCTCTTCTATGCCCTTCAAGCCTCACTTATGGATAAAATTAAAAAATGGCCACGGTGGAAATATTTTGATTACATACACAATCGTAAAGGACAAAAAGGTGAACTACAGAAAAATACAGAGATATTAATGCGAAAAGTTGGGGCTCCAACTCGTTTAAAGGAGTACGATGCAGAAATATGGGTGCCAAAAATCGTTGAGTACTGGAACAATTTTCTCTTCACAGGGCAGTTTATTTTTAAAGTCTACATTTTTGGATCTTCAGGACATTATAAACCTTTGTTTAAATTTGGTCCTGAGGAATTTAATATCCCTATCGTTCTCTATTATAACAACAAACATTTTGATGGGGTACAGAAAATTGGTGGATTATTTGGTCAACCATACTGTCTTTCTTGTGAAAAAATTTATAATAGATCGCAAAATCACTCAATTAAGTGTCGTTCACGGTGTTCAAAGTGTTCTCAAGTAGGGGTTGGTTTTCCTTGCAAATCTAAGGATAATTATAATAAAAAATGCATTGGATGCAACAAAATATTTGACAACTACAATTGTTATAATCATCATTTAATTAGTAGATTTTGTAACAATTCCAAGCAGTGTGATAAATGTGGTGAAATATGGAATGTATATGATAACAAAAGAAATGGGCGTAGTGGTCATATATGTCTGGAAAAATACTGTGGTAGATGTGGGGACTTCCATGATCCCAAAAGAGGATGTTTTATCAGAATACTCAATCCAAAGAGACAACTCCCTTATCGACTTATCTCTTTTGATCTGGAAACAACTCAATATAAGAAAGTTAATTCAGTCTCACCCGATAAAAGGATTCATGAACCTAATTTTATTGCTGCAAAGGTAGCTTGTCCTGATTGTATAATTAATGGAGAATGGCGAAAAAGCTTGAAAAAATACAATTGTAAAGTTTGTGGTCAAAACCGTCTTATCACATTCTCCCAACAACCTTTTAATAAGACAAGAGTTGATAAACAAGTTATAGATAAAGATCCATTAAAAGCCTTCGTTCATTGGCTTCTTTATAAATTACCAAAAGATTATGATACAGTTGCATATTCACATTTTGGAGGTCGGTTCGACATGGTAATAGTAGCGAGCCAATTATACTCTGAAGGTATCAATCCACAAGTACTCATGAAAGGAAACAAGCTATATGAAATGAAAATAATGAAAAGGCCAAATTACAATTCGAATATTATATTTCGTGATTCATTCAATCTAATGCCAATGGCATTAGCTGCACTTGTTCCTACTTTTGGTCTTGATATTGATGACAAACCTTTCTTTCCCCATCTTGCCAATCGTCCGGAAAATTATGGGAAAAAGATATACTTGTCTAAGGAAGATTATATGGCCTCTGGTATGATGCCCACAAAAAGAAAGGAATTTGATGCATGGTTTGAGAAGAATAAAGAAAATCCCTTTCTACTAGATGAAGCTCTCGCTAGTTATTGCACTAACGATGTTGAGATTTTGATGTGTGCTCTTGTGGCATTTAGGAACGAATTTTTTGAAACAACTAAACGATCTAATCACGAAGGTATCGATGTTTTGAAAGAATGCATGACTATAGCTAGTGCGTGCATGAAGCATTATCGCACTAACCATTTAAAAGAAAAACATCTTTCTATTGTTCCAGAGCGCGGTTATGAAAATGTCGATAACCAGAGTCTATTGGCACTTAAATTCTTAAAATGGTATTCTGAAAAAAATAATATAAAAATCCAGACAGCACATTCAGTTGGTGGAGAGAAAAAAGTTGGAAATTTTAAGTTAGATGGATGGGTTGAGGAACGAAATCTTGGTATTGAAGTAAATGGGTGTGCATGGCATGGATGCCCAAAAAAGAGTTGCTATCCTGATGATAATATGATGGTACCTAATGGAATGACAGCTGGAAAAAGAAGACTTAAAGACTACGAAAGAAAAAATTTTATTTTGGAACAAGGAATAGATTTAAAAATTTTTTGGGAGTGCGAGATTAGGGAAATGCTTGAAAATGACCGTGATATGAAGCAAAAATTCAACAATTATCTTGATGAAGGACCTTTGGAAATAAGAGCTTGCTTTTTTGGTGGAAGGACGGGACCATTAAAATTAATACATGAAGCAAGGCCCGGCGAGAAAATCTCTTACTTTGACGTGACTTCGCTTTATCCCTTTACAAATTTTAACACCAATTACCCAATCGGTCACCCTATTGTACATACTTTAAATGAAGAAGTCCATTGGACTTGCGCAGCAGACAATCCTTACAAACTAGCATTACTGAAAGTATTCGTTATTCCTCCGAAGAAGATTGACATTCCAGTTCTGCCAGCTAAATTTGATGAAGAAAGGTTGCTTTTTCCCCTATGCGCCGAGTGTTCAAAATTAAACCCAAAAGGAAATATAATTGAGAATTACAGTTGTACTCATACAGAAAGACAACGAGGGTGGGTGAGCAGTTGTACATCTATAGAGTTAAATGCTGCTTTGGAAGAAGGATATAAAGTTAAAAAAGTTTATCGCGTTCTGGAATATACAAAGTCAGATAATGAGCTTTTTCGTCCATATATGAGAGAATTTTTAGCTCAAAAAATCCATGCCACAGGATTTGATGATAAAATTAAAGGAAATGCCATTGAAGAAGAAAAGTTTGTTAAAGAATGTTGGGAAAAATTTGGAATGAAGATCGAGAGAGAAAAGATGATTCCGAATAAGGGAAAAAGGGCAATAGCTAAATTAGCTGTTAATAATTTGTGGGGACGTTTTTCACTTAGAAACCAAGGATTAACACAAACTTATATAACTGATGATCCATCTGAGTTAGCTGATTTCCTAGATAATCGTTCTATAGAGATGGTATCAATTGATGAATTAACAAAGGAAGCAATTATGCTGAGATATCTGAAGAAGAAGGAATGGATAGAGGAACACGAGTGTTCAAATGTAGTGATATCCTTATGGACTACTTCTGCTGCAAGACTCCATCTCCTTCGCCTTATGCAAAAAGTGGCACGAACTCCAGACTGCACCCTCCTTTATACTGATACAGATTCTTTGATTTTTTCACACCCTGAAGATAATAATCCTCTGGAACTTGGACCTCACCTTGGAGATCTTACAGATGAATACCCTAATCATGAAATACTTGAGTATTGTAGCGGTGGTGCAAAGCAGTATGGTCTGAAACTTAAACGAAAATTTGTACATAATGAAGAGCCAGAATATGTCTTAAAGGTACGGGGAATAACACTAAATTATGACGTCATAAATAATCAAGGACTAAGATATCAAACATTCAAAAATTCAATTTTACAATATGTTCAAACCTGTAATCCTATCTCAATACCTTTAATATATCCTAATTTTCTTCGTCCATCTGTCAAAAAAGGTTGTGTCATCTCTCAACCATTAACTAAAATTTATAAACCTTTTGTTGGAAAAGGAATAATTCGTCCTAGTGATTTTTCTGTTTTAGACTTTGGTTTTGTTAAGAGTTTATCTCTTTAATTATTTTTCAAATTGTTTTACCATTTCATAATATTTATTACAAATAAATTTATTTTAAAGAGTCAATTTATGAAATATTAATGATAGGAAGATAGTATTTTTAGGGGAAAAATAGCAAAATTAGTAATGAGAAGATACAATTTAGGAATAATTAACAAAATAGGTGTTTGAATTGTAATTTATTCAGAAACACATTACCATCCATTAACAAATTCTAGATAGGTTTCATCTTCATCCTCCTCTTCGATATCTGAAAGAGTCGCTGATTTTTTCTTCTCTCGGATGAGAGTTTTGTTTAGATTCTCTGAAGTGTCACTTTTAAAAATATTCATAAATATTTTTGGATTTTCCTTTTCCTCAATAAGTTCAAGCAATTCCAAGGGATAAAAGCGGTTTTCTCCTCGATGAAAGGACTCAATGACGCAATGAAGAAAGGGATGAAATAATCTAATTCTGTGGCGTGCATAAAAATGTGCCGCTACGGTAACATTAAAGTGTTTAGAAAGACGGCCATATGCTTGAAGATTGTTTGCACCTTTATTGCTAAGATCGTCAAAGAAAATTGTTTTAGAAAATCCATTATTATCTTTATAAGTTGTTCTAAGCTTTTTTCCTTTTAATTTGTTCAAAATAAGTTCACGATTAGAGGGATGATTAAGCTCGTCTCTTAGAGATTTAACATTGCATTTTAATATTTTTGCAACCTCATCGATTAGAAGTACCATTTTAAAAAATTAGATTTTATGAATGAATGTTAGAAATGAATAGTTGGATATTAAAGATTTCTTTAAAATATTTAGAATGAATTAAAAATTCGATGAAAATGGTGGAAGGGTTGATATTTTTCATTCCCGTTCATTTTCTAAAATCATTTTTAAAAATTTTCAAAAAATGGACAATCTCGAAATCCCTGAATTCAATCCTCTCATTCCTCCTCCTGTCTTAGAACTAAATAAATCATTAGAAATGAAAGATTCTCCTAAAATTATCAAAGAATTGCCAAATAAATCTAATGAGAAAAAATTGTTTCCAAAATATAGCAAAGAAACATCAAAAACCGCAACTCACCTCTGGAAGTTAACTAAGGGAAAAACAGTTTTACAATACCATCTATGTTATGGTAATTTTTTAAATTCGAAAAAACTTTTTAATATTTTTTATTACAGATTGTCAGAAACGTCTTTTTAACTCTCAAGATAAAATAATTCGTCAAGGGGATAAAATAATTCTTAAAATTGAATTTTGTGAAAAATGTGCATTAGATAACTGTGAAGCAACAGATTTACTATCAAATAAGACAAAAAGGAAGTATAGAAAAGTTGAAGATAAAACGGATATAATTAAAATTGATAATTAAAATTAATTTTTTGCTTTTTCTTTTCCAATTTTGTTTAATTTTACTATTTGGTAAATAAATATATAAATTTTGTTTACGCTATTAAAAAAAAATCTCTAATCCTTTTCTTTCCTCTTAGATTAATTATTGCCGGTCTAGAAATTTATATTAGATCTTGACACTTATAAAAATTCTGTCCACTATTTTTACTCCTTTTATCCTAAAGAGAGATATTATTCAGTAAATGATTGCGCAATTGTAGAAAAAAGTCTTGGCAAATAAACAATTCACCGTTTGTTTTGAGAATTGAAAGTTATAGTTTTTTGAGTAAATGCAGATCTTATATTATTTTTAGCAGATTAGCAACGCTTGGCAAATGGGTGGAGAATATATATAAAGAATGGTCAAAAACATTGAAATATTTATTTCTCGATGAATTTTAGTTGATATTTTTATTTAATATTTTATACTTTATTATTTTTAAATATATTTCATTTATGTTTTTAATTTTTTTATTTTCTTTGAATTTTTAATTGTTTTCTCATAAAATTTAATTGTTATCATTTCATTAATAAATTGTTCTATTTTAGCTTTTGTCTTTCTAAAATCTTTTAATTAAAATGTCCGACTTTGTAAAAATGAAGGATCTCGCAAGCGCTCTTGTTGAAATAAAGCTTTTGCGATCTGAAGTTCAGCTATTGCGCGAAGAAAAACAGGAGGATAAACGTTCTATCCAAATTTTGCGCATGGCTATGGTAAATAATGCAATACGTGTAGAAACGTTAGAAAAGTGGTCCGAAGGGGTTTATTTATTCTCTATTTCATTGTACTAATTTTTTCTATTTCGGGTACCCGCATCTCGACGTTTCATAATGCCTTTTGCCCCTTCCATTGGCCAGGTACAATTGGATCTGTTTAGCTCGATGCGAAATTTTGAGCGAAATAAAGTATTGGCACCTCATCGATGCGGAGCATATCCTATTTCCGACAGAGGTATATTTACTATCTTGCCTTAATTTGATTCTATTCAGTCGCAAATGATCTACTCCTTACTGTAGGGTTACAAGAAAATTTAAATGATGAAGACTGGGACCTTAATTCAAATGTTCAATCTACCTCAAATTGTGAGCATACATTTAGTTATTTCTTAATCAGTATAAACAATTAAAAAAATTTTCCTTAGTTGATCTACCTGCTGTAATGAATGGAAACAATTTCTCCACCAAGCTTCATAAAAAGAAGCTTGGTGGAGAAATCTGCATTGCTAAAAAGTGTAAAGATCCAGCTGATTTTGCTGGATTTTGTGGCCATGATGTATTTTGTTTAAAACATGCGAAAGAACGAGTTTCAATCGCATGGAAAAAAATTCAATGTCCCACATGTCCTTTGTGTGGACAAAATACACAGACGTTCAAGAATGATAAGAAGCAGGACTGTTTGGATTTTTAGGTAACATAAGTTAATATGTGCTTTAATTAAATATTTGTTTAAGTAATTTTTTGATAATGAAATTTTTCTGGGCTGTTAATTTTATTTAATGCTTATTTAATACTTTAGCCAATTTTGATTAAAATGTGCCCAAACTTTAGAGCTGTCCGGGACATTCGGACTTGATTCTTGCCATAAGACTTTTAGTGGGGTTTTCGGTCTTGGTTCTGTTGGTGAAATGTTCCTTGTCCAGACTTTAAAGCTTTTGAAAAATACATCACTAAAAGAAAGAGCGAAAAATTTTTAGACGGGAGAAAAGGGGAGAGAAAGTTAAAAACTGTAAAAAAGAGCCTTTCAAATTCTCAAAATTTTTCGAGTGGACACAAAAGGAATACATAGAATGGAGAAAAATTTTCCTTTAGAAAACGATATTTTAAGCGCCTTCGTTTCACAAGCCCTGTATTTAATTTAAGTTTTGATTTATTTCCTTTAAACTTTTGAAATTATATATCATATGCCAAAGTCACGAAAAATAAACCAAAAAATTTTGTTAGTACTTTAGTCTCGGGTCATGCAAATTTTTCGCTCTTGGACAGCTCTAACCAACTTACTCATATAAATATTTTACCAATTTTTCATTTTAAATAAAAATTTAAAAAAATTTTTATTTTTAATAATTTATTTTTGAAGAATAATATTTAAAAAATTTAAATTTGTTTTTGTTGTTGTTTAAGTTCTTCCAATTTTCGCCTTTTCCTTTCATCGCCGCATACTCTCTGAAAGTATTTAAATTGGAAAAATTAATGTAAAAAAATATGGATGAGACGGAGACTTATAAAAAAATGGAATAAAAAATGGATGAGACGTAGATCCTCTCTCTCTAAATGGATGAGACCGAGACTTTCAAATTACGGCGCGGACTTTATATATAATTTGTTCAGAATTTTGATCTACCTTTTATACGATAAGATAACCGGACTTGGAGTGTCGTACGAGATATCTCGAGAAATCTCAAAAATACCCACTTATAAAGCCCACACCTACGGCGTGGGCCCACCACCTACGGCGTGGACCTTGGTCCACAACCTACGGCGTGGGCCCACCACCTACGGCGTGGGCTTTATATATGACATTTATCAGAATTTAATCTACCTTTTATACGGAAAATTAACCGGACTGGGAGTGTCGTACGAGATATCCCGAGAAATCTCAAAAATACCCACTTATAAAGCCCACACCTACGGCGTGGGCCCACCACCTACGGCGTGGACCTTTGTCCACAACCTACGGCGTGGGCCCACCACCTACGGCATGGGCTTTATATATGACATGTATCAGATTTTTAATCTACCTTTTATACGGAAAATTAACCGGACTGGGAGTGTCGTACGAGATATCCCGAGAAATCTCAAAAATACCCACTTATAAAGCCCACACCTACGGCGTGGGCCCACCACCTACGGCGTGGACCTTGGTCCACAACCTACGGCGTGGGCCCACCACCTACGGCATGGGCTTTATATATGACATGTATCAGATTTTTAATCTACCTTTTATACGGAAAATTAACCGGACTGGGAGTGTCGTACGAGATATCTCGTAAATCTCAAAAATACAAGGTAGATTAACCAGGCAGATTTAAGTTATATATATATCTGTCCATATTTTTTGTTTTTCGGCGCTTCATGAAAATTTTTTTGTAAAATATTGTCTTACTTTCGGAAAATATTGCAAACTTTAAAAATTTTTTAAATATTTTCGCGGAAAATTCGATCTTGATATCCGAGATTATTTCAAGGCCTCATCTCATCCATTTCTATTTATTTTAAACTTAGTTCCTAGAATGATTCTTAATTAATTTAATTTATTAAACTTGCGTTATTTCTAGTCCTCTTCTTCTTTACTTGTCCTTGAGGTAAATTTTCCTTTTCTTGGTCTAGTAGATCACCTCTCTGTTGTGCAAGCGTTTCAAGTTTAGTCAATTCAACTTCAAGAGGCTCTAAAACATTAGCGACAGCTTCTCTTTCAGCAACACCATCGCGGATTAGTGCTGCACCTGACTGAAAGTTTTGAGAGGTTTAAGTGGGTAATAGTTTGGAATTCGCCCCCCTTTTTTTTCAACGTTTCCTGACTTGAGTTTTTTTTGTTCGATACATAGTTTATCATAAATTATTCGAAAAAGCTCTTCGAGCTTGGTTGAATTATACCATGATTGGAAGATCTAATCATTCTTACCAAAATTATGACTAAATCCTTATTGAGAAGACTTTTTGTGACAATCTAATGAGGTAAAATAAACGGTCATAACTTTGTTTACTTGAGTCAGTTTTCGTTAATTTTGCTGTCATTCGACTCAGCTCGAAGAGCTCTTTCGAATGATGTATAATTTGCCATAAAATTAGAAAAAACTAGGAAAAAATAGAAAAGAAAAAAAAGGGGGCGAATTCCAAACGAATTCCTTTAAGTGTTTAAATAGCGTATTTTAAGTGACAAACCACCTACTTTTGCAAGTCTACTAAGTTCAGCTCGATTAGCTGCCAATTCTAGCATAAAGGCTTGATGTCTTGTCTGTGCCCAATTAAGAGCTCCAACCCCTCCAACTTCAATTTGTTGTTCCATTTGATGTCTTTTCTCATTAATCCAAAAATCCAATACACTAGCATCTCTTCGCAATCCTTCCTAAAAAATTTGTATTATAATTGTCAATTTAATTATTTAATTTACAAGTGCTAATCCTCTCTCTAACTGTGCTCTTCTCAGTTGTGTTCTTTCAATAACCCCTTGATGTCCATAAATTACTTCTCGTTTTTGATTTTCAATTTGTGCGGATTGTGAGTGTCCGGTGCGTATCAAACGGTCAGCAGAAGCAACAAAAAGTAGAACCCTCTCCTATTTTTAAAAAATAAAAATTAAGGTGGTATTTCGTCTGAACGGTCTTTTTTCACGTTTCCCTGATCATTTTGAGCTTTTTATCTATAATCTATCAATATATTGAAAGAGCTCTTCGAGCAGGTCGAACGATACCATGATCGATTATATTTGCCTATTTTGAACAAATTATGAAGCGAATCCTTGTCTAACTAAAAACGTTTTATATCACTGACAGGGATCAAAACAAATGGGCATAACTTTGCCTATCAAATCAGATTTTGTTGATTTTAGTGCCACTCAACTCAGTTCGAAGAGCTTTTTTGTAAAATTGACATAGAAAAGGAAAAATTCAATAAAATAAAGGAAGTGGAGGTCTGCCGAACTTTTACCAAAATTTACTCATATTAATAGTAAAGGAATCCCTAGACTTTGTAATCAATAAAAACTAAGTTTAAAAACAAAATAAAAATTATTTTCACCTCTTTTGCTGAAAGTTTAGCCTCGAATTCAGTCTGTTCTTTCAATAAATTTTGCACTTTCTCTAGAGAATCAGATTTTGAAGAAATTGCAAGAAAAGCTAGTTGTTCTTTATTTAAAGAATTAATACTGTCAGCTTCACTTGTAAATTCTTCCATTTCCAATAATTGACGACATTTATCCTTAAAATTAAATTGTTAAAGATTTTTGCGGACAAAACTTGCGGACTTTTTTTAGGTTAAAATTCGGTAATCTAATTCGGTAATCTACTATTCGGTAATCTATCCACAACCTTCTGTCTTTCCTTCTCCTTCTTTCTTTATCTTCATAAAGAATATAAACAAGTCTGAGGTCGGCATTCGATTTTATTCATTCAAGTTGACACGAGCCGGGCTTACTGAACTAAAACACGAAACTCCGGAAACCCCATATTTTATCAATATTAACGCTATAAATGAATGCACATCCCCACATCGATTTCTGGTCGGACACTCATTAAAGTTAGAAAGTTCTCCCCTTTTTTTAATACTTGAGAGAGAAAGAAAGGGAAAGACAAAAGTTGCAATCGAACAGTTAAGTACAAGTGGGGAGATAAAGAATAGTACTCCATTCCATTAAAGCAAAATCTTTTTAAAAACGGATTTGTTCTTGAATTATTAATTAAAAGTAAAAATAATCAAACCTCTCTCTTTTCCCAAAAACCTTCTAATTCATTCATTACATTTTTTAATTCCTTCAATTTTCGATTTATTTTTACTTGTTCTTTAGGATATCCTTTTTCAATTAAACGTTGTCCTAATTCTTCAACATAACCAAATTCAAATTGTTTTCCATCTATCTGTTTACGTAATTCTGAATTCCTTCTTAATGCTTCTTTTGTTGATGCAGAGGTATCACAAGATAAATTTATTTGTTCCGAACATTTTTGTGTCCAGTCAAGAAGTTCACTCAAATTTTAACTTAATAGTTTTCGAAAAATAAAAAATAACCTAATTTTTTCAAAGAATTCTCCTTTTTCATTTATTTGGTTTTCTTCATCAAATTCTTCGAATATTTTATTTTCTTTCCTCTTTAGATATTGGGGCAAAAGAAAATCAGCATCCTTGGGAAAAAGAAAAAAATTGAATGCTTATTTAAATAAACCAGATCATTTTCCGATATCCAGGCATTGTGCCGATTCGTGTAACCTACCCACTTAACTAGGTAGAATATTTCGTCTTCTTCAACTTTATCATCTAATATTTCTTCTATAACGTGACGTTCCCCCATTTCTAACTAAAATTGATCTAAAAATAAATAAGCTAAATAAGATAAATGATCAGTAAACATAAGTCCTGTTTTTTAGAGAAATAGTTCAAAGATAGCATTGAAATATATATAGGGACTGGGAAGGGCGGTAGGATGATAAAAACATAAGGAAAATGTATTTGATTAATAAAAGAAAAAAAAGTTGAAAGGCAACTATTTGAATAAGCTGAGTGTGAAACATTTGAAAAATGGAATGAGGGAATTATTCAAATATATTTAGAACTGGGTAAAATAGATTAAAACTAAAATGATTGAAAATATTGTTCTGTTTGTATTAGGAATTGAGTATTGAGTGTCTTTTGATCTTACCTCAAAAACATTTAAAAGGATTAGGGGATTCCGAACAATTTATCCTTTGATGTTGCCGAAAAACATGTTGAAAGGATTTAGGTTTGTTTGTTTAGGGCGAAGGTCCCGTTGGGTTAACTACTAATAGGCATATTTTCAATAGGTATTTCATTTTCTTTTAATATACTTTCCAATTCAAATTCTTCAAAATTCTCAAAAATATTTTTATTTTGTTTTGCAATTAATGAAAGTAAAATATTCGGGTTAGCTTCACTTTCAATAAGTAAATTAATTGCTTTAGTGAAATCACCTTTTTGAAGAAATATTGTGGCTATTTTTTGTTGTAATTGTTTTAATTGCTTAAGAAGAAGAAAATTTAAAAAAATATTTAAATATTATTAAGAAAACGGATATCCAGATTAGAAGTGCGGAGGTATCAGAAATCAGAATTAGCCTAATTGATAGAACACGGAAATAGGGAATTTGAAGATTGGGGATCTGAAAATCTATTTACGGCTTTATGGTAGACAGATTTCATTGTAGGTACTCCCAAAGTATTGCTAAACGGATTAAAGCCCCCCCCTCCCTTCCCTTTCACCGTTAATTCATTCAAATTCTCAAAATTAACAGAAATTTGTTCTTCTAACATAGAACAAGCAATATCTAAATATCCGTGTAAAATATTTTCTTCAATTTGTGAATATATAGTCATTGCAATTAATTCAAAAAAACATCCACTAAAAGGAGGAATTATAAATGTTTGTCCATCTATATTAGCTAATTGATATAAATTTTGTTTTTGATTGAGGGATTGTTGTTGTTGTTTATTTTCATCATCACTGGGAAACTCGAGACTTTGTTTTAAAGAACCATCATGAATACTGAAAAAAAAATAAAAAATTATTATTTTTTAATCTTCGGCTTATCCAATCACTAAATGTGACTGTCTTTGGCTGGTATATTTGGGAGATCTAAAACCTCTGAGTTGTCACACTCCAATAGTAAATTTAGAGAGTAACATGTCTCTGAAAAAATTAAAAGACCTGGGATAAATTTGGAAATGTTGAACTAATAGAAAATGATTAAAACATGTTAATCAGCTAATCAAAACAAAAAATTTTCAAAATTTTCACCTAAAAATAAACAAAATTCCAGCAGTGTCCAAAACATTTAAATAAGGCTCTTTAAGACAGAGTCCAATAGGAGGTTCCTGTCCAGGTAAAGATAATGGAGGTCTAGTTGATGCCCCTTCTCCATTTACAAACATTAATAGACTTTGAATTCCAGCAACACAAAATTCTTCCTAAAAAGGAACAAAATTATGAAATAAGGTTGGATCCTAATTTTATATACACCCTTGAAGCTGAAAAGTCGTGTCATATAATTATGGATATATTAGGGGGTACAGTTAAGATTATTAGACAGCTTATCGCCATACTGGCCAACCAATATTTGGAAAAAAATAATCTTAGATTGAGGTCTATTGGAAGATTTCTATTTTTATTTGGGTCCTCACTAGTGTTGAACCGCAAATTTGGCCGGAACCGAAACCAAAAAATCCTGGAACTTCCGGCCTATCGGAACCGGAACTTCGTGCGAAACACTAGTCCTCACATCCCTTTCTCCTAAAAAAATTTTTTCAAAAAGAAAACTCTCCCCAACCATTCCAACAGAACAAATAACTTTCGGAACTTCACAATCAGCTACATCAAATAATTTAATTCCATTTTTCTCGTTAATATTCTGAACAAAATAGCAATTATTTGTAGCATAACAAACACAATTTCCATTAAAAACAATTTCAACAATATTCCCAAAATTTGTTGTTAATTTCTTCTCTTTAATAAATAAATAATTATTTTCTGAAGAAATTCTTCCAATTAATATTTGATTATTTGTTGTAATTATAGCTAATTGAATAGAAAAAGGATTTAAATTATTTATTGGATGTGTATTTAATGATATCCTTTTTGCTTTAAATAATTCTTCAATCCTTATTTCTTCTTCTAATATTAAATTAAGTACTCTTTCTCCAACAACAATAATTAAAAGCCCTATTGCAGAAGCACAACAAATTTGGGTAACTGGTGCTCCTCGATCCTTTGAAAAAAAATTTCAATAACCAGTCTTGAAATGTTGGTTGATAATAATGTTGAAGAGGGTTAGGTTAAGTGGGGGTATCGGTAGGTAAAATCCTGACTATCTAAATCCAAATAACTAGATTTAATATTGATAGTCTCGTGAACATGATCGGCACAGGATTGTCCTTCCCTTTCTTGTCTGTATTACAACGAAAACAATTTTTGTAGTATTTGTTTGCTCGCTTTCTCCCTATAAAAGGATGTTGCTTAATCTAAACTCAACAACACAAATTCTATTACTACGCCCAAAAATAATCTCTTCAAATAATGTTCTTCTATCCGTTTCTAATGCCATCATGGATTGTTGTTGCCCTGCTTCTCGTTTCTGTTTTTGTTCTTGTGCCGTGTTGCAAAAAGGTTAAGAATTTTTAATAATTAATCTTTACTTAATCTCCACTGATTTTTTTCTTTATCTTCAGAAATCAAAATCCAAGAAAAAGAAAAATTCAAAGCCAACAACAAGTACAGTTTCTATGACAAATTCTAAGATGAAAAAGAAGAAGAAAGACAATTCCGAATATGTCAAACAGCTAGACAAATTAAAAGAAACGGAAGCAATGGCAATATCGGTTGAAAGTGCAAATTCAGTTAGCTCTACAAGCGAATCAAATCCACTGTCGCGTGAAACTGGCCAACGAACTCGCGAAAAGGAGATGTCTTTGGAGACGACACTTGAACTGAAGGAGAAACTTATAAAGGAATTGGAGGCCACTAAATCTGGGGTAAATAGTAAAAAATTTAAAAGATTTATTTCTGGATGTCTCTCACCTTCTTGGGGCTCACCTTCTTGGGGCTTTCTAATCCTAGTCAGTTGTATAAGAGAACATATAAATAAATGAGAGACAAGTCTGAAACGAGTGATTTTTAAAAATTTATTTTTTTTAATTTTCAGAAAGACGGCAAAGAAAAGGGGCAAAAGTCGATTAGCATCACACAAATGTCAACTAGAACAGCAATAGAGTTCATTCCGCCAAAAGAAAAATCTGTCAAGGAAACTCAAAAGTCAATTAGTGCTGGCAACACTTCTTCAGCCCTTCAAAAATCGGTTGAAGTGGGTAAAGGCGGAGGTACTAAATCTGTAACGATTTCTGTCCGTAAAAAAGACGACAAAGAATCAAACAAGGAAAAGAATGAAAAGGAGGCTGAAAAGGTTGAAAGTGAGGCTTTGTTGGAAGAAAAGGAGACAAAGTCTTCGAGCGAATCGGATGAGAAGGAATGAAGACTAAGAAGACAGTTGATATTGTTGATAAATATAACAAATTGTATAATACATATGTGATTCTATAATATATACGTTTATTGTATTTTTGTGTGTGCATTAATTTCCTTGTTTGAGTAAAAATTGTGTAGTTCCTGTCCAGGTAAAGATAATGGAGGTCTAGTTGATGCCCCTTCTCCATTTACAAACATTAATAGACTTTGAATTCCAGCAACACAAAATTCTTCCTAAAAAGGAACAAAATTATGAAATAAGGTTGGATCCTAATTTTATATACACCCTTGAAGCTGAAAAGTCGTGTCATATAATTATGGATATATTAGGGGGTACAGTTAAGATTATTAGACAGCTTATCGCCATACTGGCCAACCAATATTTGGAAAAAAATAATCTTAGATTGAGGTCTATTGGAAGATTTCTATTTTTATTTGGGTCCTCACTAGTGTTGAACCGCAAATTTGGCCGGAACCGAAACCAAAAAATCCTGGAACTTCCGGCCTATCGGAACCGGAACTTCGTGCGAAACACTAGTCCTCACATCCCTTTCTCCTAAAAAAATTTTTTCAAAAAGAAAACTCTCCCCAACCATTCCAACAGAACAAATAACTTTCGGAACTTCACAATCAGCTACATCAAATAATTTAATTCCATTTTTCTCGTTAATATTCTGAACAAAATAGCAATTATTTGTAGCATAACAAACACAATTTCCATTAAAAACAATTTCAACAATATTCCCAAAATTTGTTGTTAATTTCTTCTCTTTAATAAATAAATAATTATTTTCTGAAGAAATTCTTCCAATTAATATTTGATTATTTGTTGTAATTATAGCTAATTGAATAGAAAAAGGATTTAAATTATTTATTGGATGTGTATTTAATGATATCCTTTTTGCTTTAAATAATTCTTCAATCCTTATTTCTTCTTCTAATATTAAATTAAGTACTCTTTCTCCAACAACAATAATTAAAAGCCCTATTGCAGAAGCACAACAAATTTGGGTAACTGGTGCTCCTCGATCCTTTGAAAAAAAATTTCAATAACCAGTCTTGAAATGTTGGTTGATAATAATGTTGAAGAGGGTTAGGTTAAGTGGGGGTATCGGTAGGTAAAATCCTGACTATCTAAATCCAAATAACTAGATTTAATATTGATAGTCTCGTGAACATGATCGGCACAGGATTGTCCTTCCCTTTCTTGTCTGTATTACAACGAAAACAATTTTTGTAGTATTTGTTTGCTCGCTTTCTCCCTATAAAAGGATGTTGCTTAATCTAAACTCAACAACACAAATTCTATTACTACGCCCAAAAATAATCTCTTCAAATAATGTTCTTCTATCCGTTTCTAATGCCATCATGGATTGTTGTTGCCCTGCTTCTCGTTTCTGTTTTTGTTCTTGTGCCGTGTTGCAAAAAGGTTAAGAATTTTTAATAATTAATCTTTACTTAATCTCCACTGATTTTTTTCTTTATCTTCAGAAATCAAAATCCAAGAAAAAGAAAAATTCAAAGCCAACAACAAGTACAGTTTCTATGACAAATTCTAAGATGAAAAAGAAGAAGAAAGACAATTCCGAATATGTCAAACAGCTAGACAAATTAAAAGAAACGGAAGCAATGGCAATATCGGTTGAAAGTGCAAATTCAGTTAGCTCTACAAGCGAATCAAATCCACTGTCGCGTGAAACTGGCCAACGAACTCGCGAAAAGGAGATGTCTTTGGAGACGACACTTGAACTGAAGGAGAAACTTATAAAGGAATTGGAGGCCACTAAATCTGGGGTAAATAGTAAAAAATTTAAAAGATTTATTTCTGGATGTCTCTCACCTTCTTGGGGCTCACCTTCTTGGGGCTTTCTAATCCTAGTCAGTTGTATAAGAGAACATATAAATAAATGAGAGACAAGTCTGAAACGAGTGATTTTTAAAAATTTATTTTTTTTAATTTTCAGAAAGACGGCAAAGAAAAGGGGCAAAAGTCGATTAGCATCACACAAATGTCAACTAGAACAGCAATAGAGTTCATTCCGCCAAAAGAAAAATCTGTCAAGGAAACTCAAAAGTCAATTAGTGCTGGCAACACTTCTTCAGCCCTTCAAAAATCGGTTGAAGTGGGTAAAGGCGGAGGTACTAAATCTGTAACGATTTCTGTCCGTAAAAAAGACGACAAAGAATCAAACAAGGAAAAGAATGAAAAGGAGGCTGAAAAGGTTGAAAGTGAGGCTTTGTTGGAAGAAAAGGAGACAAAGTCTTCGAGCGAATCGGATGAGAAGGAATGAAGACTAAGAAGACAGTTGATATTGTTGATAAATATAACAAATTGTATAATACATATGTGATTCTATAATATATACGTTTATTGTATTTTTGTGTGTGCATTAATTTCCTTGTTTGAGTAAAAATTGTGTAGTACATTTTTATCACATTTCTCCCCTCCGATAAGATGGCCTTAAAATGTTTCTAAGGAGGCCCCTACCGTCCCAGGCATAAATTCCCCCCGTCAAAACATCAATTTAAAACCCACTTTCTCTTCTGATAAACAAATATTTGCTTCCAATTCCCATTCAGCAGATGAACCTTCTGTGCATGTATTAAAGATCATCAACATTCCCGAATATGTTCCAACAACAATAATTGTTCCAAAGCCAGAGACTGCAGTTATCTAAAAAAAACCTTAGGTATGTGGGTATAAGCATATTTTTTGTTTACAATTTTTCAATGTGTAAAAATTAATTTAATTTTAAAAATGCACTCGGATTTCACCATAAGATACACAAAATACTAATTGTGACCTGTGTGGTGGATTCTATCTAAGAAAACATCATGATAAAACTTCATCCCCGAGGGGGTATCTTATAGTAGGACCGTATATTTTTTGATCATTTTGACCTGATCATTTTGCTTTAAATGATTGTCCAAACAACGTCTTTTCCGATCAAATAATTTTACCGACATTTTCTAAAAATAAAACAAATAAAGTTTAAATAAACTAAAAATATGAAAAAAAATTATATGCCAAATAAAGGCCTTTAAAACAAAAAAAAACAATAAAATTATTCAAAATTTCGTTCGAGTTTAAAAAACAAATGAATAATGAGATTTTGGACCAGAAAAAAGCAAAATAACATTTGTTTTGAACGAATAAAAAAAGGCGAAAAAACAAATTGAGTTTTGAGGTGAAATTCAAGAATGGAGGTGTACACAACATCCTGAAATGAACCAAAAATAGGCTCAAGAATTATTAAATTAATAGAGAAAAGAATATTTTTTAAAAAAGAAAAACTACCAAGAACAACAAAGAGTAATTAGATAGATGGAAAAGACATGCATGTTCAAAAGATTTTTTGGAAAATTGGAGAAATTTTGAAATTTATTGAGGAATCATAAAAATTTAAAATTATTTTTTGATATTTCTGATTCACAAATTTCTCCAATTACACGCGATTAAGCAACAAAATAGAGCAAAGCAAATATATTTAAAGGGTTGTCTGTACATCTCCAGCTCCACATTTGATGAAAAAACAAAAGAAAATAATAAATTTTAAAATAATTTTAAACAAATCTCGAAATAACAAAAAACATATAGAGACAATTTTCACAGTTAACAAAACTAGTATAATTATACTATTAATCTTGTGTCAGGTTATTTAGTAAAAACTTTTAAATTATTAATCAACTCTTATCATTAGAGACAAAGATTTGGGGGAAATGTCCCCTAAATTCAGTAAAATCTAAATCCCTTTCTTAATCTTACGAGACCGAAAGAATTATCGTCACTATCAAATAACCCCAATTAGTAAGAGTTATGGAGAGTCTGAAATCTCAAGTTGATTAGAATCTTGAGAAAAAAATAACCCCAACGATAAATAAGAAAAATAGAACAACTTATTAAAAGAAAAGTAATTATAAAAACACTCCAATATATTTTAAGAAGATCTCCAGTTTTTATTGACGTCTATAGTTTGATGATCTATACTCTCTTTGTGAAGAATCACGATTGTCATCATTATTGTAGTTACGTCCACCACCCCCACCACCACCACTATGTCGCCCATATTGGTTATGATATGGCAAATGTTGTTGATTTGAGCGAGATGATCCCCCGCCCCCATCATCACTTCGACGTCGCCATGTATCAGAATTATTGTTATTTCCGTAATTTTGATTTTGTAATAAAGAAGGTGGTTGTCCCCATTGTGCCATATATGGTTGTTGCATTTGTTGTTGCTGCTGTTGCATTGAATCAACCCAATGTTGTGGAGGAAGTGGAGGAGGAGGCATTGCCATTTGCATAAAATTTAAAGGCATTGGATGCTGAAAGTTATCGGAAGGCATCAACTGTTGATATTGTTGCTGTGCTGCACCACTATGCCAAGGAAGATGTTGTTGAGGCGATGACTGCATTTGTTGTGGTTGTTGTGCTTGATAAGCCATGAGAGAAGCTGGTCCACCTTAAAAAGAAATGTTACATTTACACACATCACTTCCCTCCCATTCGTTAAATCGTAAAACTAAACCTTCCTCATTCACTAGAAGGAGGTGACGAAAAAAGTTAAGTTTGTTTTTGCCTATTGAGCTACTTGTAAGAAATAAAAAAAATTTAATTTACTTCTTCGATTTTGTTGAGTAATATGATGATCAAGAGTTCGGTGACCACTCGCAGAAAGAGAAGCTCTTGGAATATCTCGACTGAAGCCAATTTGAGGACGATAAGATCCTTGACGTCGATCATCGTAATCTTTTGGTTTCAATGCACGAGGCAGCTCTTTAATTCCCTCGAGACGACAAGCTTTGAATTGAAAATGTGGTGGAAATTGAGGATCGCGAAATTGTGCCATAATACAACTATTTTTCTGAAAAAGGATTCAAAAATTGCTCAATAAAAATTTAAAAATACCTTTATATCGCCAAATTCAATAGAACCTCTAAACATTGAAACATAATCAACGCCATAATCAATAGCACTTTCATCAGGAGAGATTTCACCAGCCATTCCGTAAGCTTTACTCGCATCAATAATTACCCATGGTTTTTCAACTTTGGCCACAACATTATCTAAAATTAAGAAAATATTAATATGAATTTATCCTTTAAAAATAAAATTCAAAGGGTAAAAAATCGAAAGTAGCAAATTTATTACCATTATTCACGTCACTATTTGTTTCATTTGAAGTAGTTTTACTTTGCTCTTCCCCTGTAGAATGACTTTGCTCCCCTGTAGAATGGCTTTGTGCTTCATTAGTTTCTTCATCATTAGACTGACTTCTTCCGTTAGAATTCTCTTCACTTGTCTGGCTTCTTTCGTTTGATTCTTCTGTTGATTGACTTCTTTCATTAGTATTCTCTCCATTTGATTGACTTCGTTCACTTTCAACAGAACGATGATTAGTACCTGTAGAAGTTGCTGAACGTTCTACACTGCTAGTCACAATAGAATTTTCATTATTCTCCTTTGTTAACTGATGCACAGATTGCATTAATTCAAAAAGTCCATGATGTTTTCCAACAAAAAGCCTATCAGGACCCGTATCATTTCTAGCCCGTTCTTCGTCGTCTAATGTATCATAGACCTAAAATAACAAAAAATTATCATTAGAATATTTAAATTAAGAAACCAAAGTAAGAGCATCTAAAAGACGCTTTTCATCAACAAAAGGCAATAAAGCAACTCCTTGCCACGCATATTTCTTTCCATTCAGATCAATTTCAAAGTCGTTCGGATAGAAATCAATGATTGGTGATTTCTCGTCTGTCATTAACCAATGCCATCCTTCTGGGATATGTGCTCTAAAAATTGACAAAAATAAATTTCACATAAAAACTAAAAAAAACCTGCTAGCGGCGGGAAAGACGCCCATTAGCTGTTCCAAAGGTTTGAATGGTCTAGTTGGTTTATTAAAGCTGGGTTTGTAATCTCCAGCCAAATGAAAATCAGAAGCAAATGGTGCATAGTGATATGGAAAGTACCATGTCCAACTTGCACAACCCTTAAAATATTATTTTATACATGCCAATATTTATTTTTTGAGTACATTAAACAAGGAATTCCTAATTTAACTACAACCACTCCTCTACCGTAAAAAAATAAACACTGGCGCTAAGACTAAAATAAGACAGACAAATACATAAACCGGATTGTAAGCCCCAAATGAATAGTTCACCAATAACAATCAAAGTCCTACATAAATGAAATAAAAACCTGATAATAGTAAAGTAACACCCAAGAAAGACCTTCAATGTAAGCGCATACAACATTCTTCCTCAATTCTGTATCATTTTCATCAACATTAAATTTTGCTCGATAATATCTTTCTTTCCAGCCTTCTTCCCAAAGTCTAATTTCATCTGTAGCCTCTTCCTCATCTGAATCATCGTTCATAAGTGCACCAACAGCACCTTTAGCCAAAGGAGCCTTACCTCCAGAAGGTGTTGTAAAAACAATTGTTGGTTTTGGACCATCTGGTGTACTCTTATCTTCAATGACTCGACCGTCCTTAAACGACTAAAAGAAAGTAAAAGGTATTATCAAAGCACCAAAACAAAAACAAAATTAAAAATCAAATAAAGAAAAACAACAAAAAATTAAATAAAATCAAACCTTTATAGGAGGCGATCCACTTGGCGAATCATTTAATGTTTGTTCCATTTTTCGCTTAGTTCCAATTGTTTTTTGTTCAGAAACGGCAACAGGAGTCAACAATGACTTCAATTTTTGAGCTTGTTCAGCAGCTAGCTGCATCTTAAATAAAAAAACCTAATTTAGTTTAAATAATAAAAAATAGTTAAATATTAAAAAAGGCTTCAGTTCTCGTTTCATATCAAACCCATTTATGAAAAGGGTCAAATAAGATCAAAGTAGCTTCTCATTAAAAAAACATCATTAGCCATGATAAATAATAATTGAAAAATTTTCTAAACCTGTTTTCTATCATCTGATGCCATCTTTCTTATTTCCTCGCCACTTTTGTTCAAATTTTGTGAGGAAATAGGCTGTGGAGCAATTAATGAAGCATTATAAGGCATTAGCATTTCTGCTGCTTCTTTGGCTCTCCTCTTCCGTTGCTTCTGGCTTTCTTTGAATTTTAGCTCGCGAAGCTAAATATTGAAAAATTAAGTTATCGAGATGAAAAAAAGTCGAATAAATTTCCCTGCCCCTATATTATGACCTAGTTTCACCAAAAATTTATCACAAAAATTAAATCTTTCTAGCAACTAAAAAGACTCCCACAAATATCCTTAAAATACTACCTGTCGCTCTCTGAATATCTGATCTTCGACCTTCCCCAATTCATGCATAATCATCTTCACACGATCAATATTAACAACACCATCGTTTGTCAACCAACCACCCGTTTGATAGACCATATTCTTGTAAAGTTTGACTAGACGATCAATAGCATTTTCACGAATTTCGAGAGAAGGTAAATGGGGAAGGAAATCGTTGCCAACAAAGAAACACATCATTACCTGAATAATTAGAAGACTAATTTAAAAAAATTAAAAAATACCCAATCATCAATAGCTCGTTCCAAATCATAAGCAAAAGGCAAATTCGGCATAAACAATTCACGTTCCAGATATTCACGAAGAACCGGGAGGCGAATAAAGATAAAATTCTTCTCCTTCTTCAAAGGATCAGCTTGGTCGGGTCCAGCTTCTGCTCTTGCTAATCCTTGACAATGTTCTAATTCGTGTCCATACTGTCCACAGAGTTCACATGCTTTTGGCTGATTTGGAACGAATTCTTCTCGGATAATGTTAAAGTTTGCTTCGTGCGTGGCCAACCCAAGCATAATCAAGTCTGCATCTGCGCCACATAAACAATGAACTGTGTTGGGGTCATGTGAAGGAGATGCTCGTTGACGTCGAATGTAGTCCATTATTTTATGCTCTCCTTCACCTGGAGCATTGGCATCAGAAAGGATAACCTAGAAAAAACAAATTCTTTGTCATCCCACTTTCATAATACAAAACCTGTATTTTCATCCAAGCAGGATCATAAGTAATCCGTTTATGAATATAGTAACGCAAAGCTGTTGATAAACGAGCCATAAACGGTGTTCCAGGTGTAATGCAATTAGAATCGAAGTGTTCTTCTTCTTTACGTGGTGGTGGGAGAGGAATACCCTCATTCTCTAATCTCTTGCGAATGCTAGCAATCTGCTCACGTTTTTCCGCCGCCTCCTTTGCTGCACGAAAACGACGACTTCGTTGTTGGTTCATCTAGAATAATTTTAAATTAAAATGTTTCAAAGTGCTATAGACCTTAGCTCGAGGAGCAACACCATCAATAGCCATGTATAGAAGCCTTCGTGGACGAACAATCGAAAAGAGACGATCAACATATTCAAAAATTAAAATGAACATCTCCTCTTCAGTTTTTGGCGCTGGGCGATCTTCTGGATGAGTACAGGGGTGAATGATACCGTTCATATCAAGATACAGAATATCAAATTCCTAGAAACAAAATTATTTCTTAAGAGAAAAATACAACCAAATTAATATAACCTGATAATTTAGATTCGGCTGAGTACAATCAACTGGAATTTTTATTCCTTCAACTTCTTTACGTCGTTCCTCTACAGCATCCACAATAATTGAGACATATTTGCGGGAAAGCCATCGAAAAAATGCTGGAACTCCCATGTTTATTTAAATATTCTTTAACTAATCTAAACAAAAATTTTTATTGTTATCTAGTTTCCCATGTGATTTTAATCTGCTTAACTAAAGACTAATTGTTGCTTAAAATAACCGTAACGTAGAAGAATGACTGGGAAAATAAATGTCGAGACTTGTTGAAAAATTAAAGGAACAAAAAGTCTCGATTTCATGGAATTTAATTGAGACAAAATGTAAAAATAATCAGCTGTGACGGTTTTAACTTTAGATGTTTTGTAAATAAAATTAGTTAAAGTATCAAAATGCAAACAACGAAATCCAAATTATAAAGTCGTTTGGAATTTTTTGCATGTTATTTTCATCAAATTTTTAGTCGTTCTTTTTGTTCCCAAACCATTCATAGTTATTGAATAATCTATTTTCAAGGAAATTTAGCATTACAATGCATATTCATATGGATCCTTTTAATCTTTCATGCGACCCAATATTTGAACAAGACGATTATGACGAAGAGAATGGAAGTGGAGAAGATTTTGAGGAGTTTGCTGACGACTGTGAAGAATTTACTGGAGGTCTATTTTTTATTTCCTTAAGCAAATTACATATTTTTTTAGATTTAACAAAAATATTTACCTCTGCTGGACATACTAATTATAGGGTAATTTTTACTATTACGATAATCGTATCTTTTGTTTTCTCAGCCTAATCGTCAACACCACAACTCCGATTCTGCTTCAGCTCTTCGTTCTCAATCATTGCGAAGTGGTGAAGCATATATCCAATCACATATGAGCAAAATTGAAGCATCAAAAGAACATCGAAGGCACAATGATCGATCTAATAGAGCAACTGTGGAACAAGTTTTAGATCCTCGGACAAGACTAATACTTTTTCAATTGATTCAAAGAGGATTTTTTGATACTGTTGAAGGTTGTATTAGTACAGGAAAAGAAGCAAATGTCTATCATGGCATCACAGAAAATGGAAGTTTGGCTGTTAAAATCTACAAAACGAGCATTTTGACGTTTAAAGATCGTGACAGATATGTCGCTGGTGAATTTAGGTATTTGTTTAAAATTTTTGTTTTCTCATTTTTTTAGATACCGCAAAGGATATTGCCGTCATAATCCTAGAAAAATGGTTGCAACATGGGCAGAAAAAGAAATTAGAAATTTACAAAGAATGTATTTGGCTGGCATTCCTGTTCCTAAACCTATCTTGCTTAAGGTGAGGAATTTTCTCTGTTTCATGTCTGAATTAATAATTTCTGATTTTATTGCTTCACTTGTATCTTACCATTGGATACAACTAAAACATATTTATTTGTTAGGGTCACGTGTTAGTAATGGAATTTATTGGAGAGGATGGTTGTCCAGCTCCTTTACTTAAAAATGTTCATGAGATGGACGAACAATTGGCTGATCAACTTTATGTAGAATGCGTTACAATTATGCGTAATATGTACAGAAAGTGCAGACTTGTTCATGCTGGTATGTTTTATTGCTTTTCTTTTTAAATCCAAGTTTTCAGATCTTTCTGAATTCAACATTTTATTTTATGATAATCATCTTATAATAATTGATGTCTCTCAATCTGTTGAACACGATCACCCATATGCTTTAACATTTTTGCGGTCTGATATAGGCAACGTGACAAAATTTTTTATGGAGAGGGGAGCGAAGGTTTTTGGAATGAAAAGGCTTTTTGAGGTAAATTTTTAATTTCTTAGAGAAATTAATTTAAAGTTTTCAAGGAGAGTTTATAAATTTTATTCTTAAACTTTAGGTTATTGTTGATCCATTGGTTGATGAATCAAAATTTGCTGAAGCCTTAACAAGCGAGCGAAGTTGTGATAATTTGCCAGATGACAGTTTTTTCATGAATGCCTATATTCCACATAAACTTGAACAAATTGTTACTTTTGAGAGGGATCATTTAATGGAAAAACAAGGATATGAACCAAACAATCCATTTCAAAAAGTTATTGGCAAAACGCTTGATAATGAAGAGAAGAATGTCGAAGAATTAGGAAGATTGTCAACATCAAAAGAAGAAAATGATTCAACGACGGGTGAATCAAGTGATGAAAACAGTTGTGAAAATGAGAATGACGAAGAAAATTCTATTGAAAATTTGGATAAACAAGGCAAAAAGTTTATTCACCAACGCCATTTAAGATTAAAAGGAGAGTCGAATGAAGCAAGAAAGGCACGTAAAGAGGCTGTTAAGGAAGAGAAAAGAGATCAAAGGAAAAATAAAGTGCCAAAAAAGGTTAAGAAACGTCGAGATAAAGTGGCAAAATCTGGAAGGAAATGAAAAGTTTTTTGTTGATTTTGATTGTTTTAATCATTTTTACCGTCTTGGATGTGATTAAATTGTTATTATTTTATTAATTTTTCCTTTTTATAATGCTAACAAAGCACGTCTTGTATCTTTTATTTTCTAAACTTTTAATCATTTTTAGTTTGTTTTTTAATAATGGCACAACCTGAAAATAACCTTATGAATATGAGTATGACGCGCAGCATTTATATTGGAATTGATAAAACTGCGGAAGTTCTGAAACGGAAGGAAGCAGCTGAAAAGGAGTTGTTGGCTCGGTATTTTGTCGTCTTTGGCTAATAACAAATTCATGTAAAATTTTAGACGTGAGGCAAAAATGAAGGAACAAGCCGAACGTATTGAGCGCGCCAGAAATCAGAAGGAAGCCGATCTTCGTGAGCGAATTCGTGAACGTCAGCAGAGGGAGATGGAGAGGCAAAAGGCTGCGTTGGACCGTCGCTGTGCTCAGTTGGACAAATTGAATGCTAAAAAGGAGGTTTAATGATTCATTTGAATAAATATTAAGGACTTTTTAAGGAAATTTTGCAAAAGAATCATCAGAAAGCTTCACGCGTGGCAGCCAATCGGCAACAAAACAAACCTGTATTTGCTTTTGGCAGTTCGACACCGCGGGAATTGTGTTTTTTGGAGAAGGGTGGTCAACAGAAACGATCAAATCAAGCCTTATCTACGAATTCGAGAGGATCTGCTTCTCCCCAGCAGGTTATTTGTTTCGAATGTTGGATTGAATTAAATTCATAATTTTCAGAACTTACGCAGTGAGCCACCGACTGCTCGTGTTCCTTCTCGGTTTACAACTTCTCATTACCGAGGCGAGAAACCTATTCCGTCTTCCAATGCTATGACTCGTAGTGTTTTTGGCTCTCTTACTAGCTCTACTTCTGCTAATAATAATAAACAAGCAACATCACCACGACGTAAGCCTTCAGCGGTCAAGAAGCAAGCAAGATCGCCACTTAGTTCAACCACAAGCACTAAAAGTGCTCCGCAACCTTTGATGACTCAATCACTTTATTCATGTAAAATTAATTATAAATGTATTAAATTTTATTTATTTTAGCGAAACCTCTGCAAAATGGGTCTCCAAAATCTGCACCTTCTAAAGCAAAAACTCCTGAAGTTTTGAAAAAGAACGCGTATGTTTTTTTAAGTTTTTAGTTGCAAGTTTTTAAAATATTTATTCAAAATATTTTCAATTTTAGTGATATTGATCCGCGTCAGCAACGTCGACCAGTCATCCGCCGTAAGGTTGAAGACAAAGCAAAGGTTTTGAAAAGTCCAGTTGCCGGCACCTCTGCGACTATATCAACACATTTTCAACAGCCAACAATTGATTTCAATATGACTATGGAAAAAACTTTTGAAGAAGATATTGTTGTCCAGAAACAGAACGTTGTTCCTGCTTTTGAACCTGATCAATTGCCAAAGGATAATCTGGATCTTGGAGTTAATAAAATGGTTGGATTTTCTTGTCTTATATTACAATCTCTCTCACTCTTAACCTATGTATCATTTTATATCTCGATTCTTCATTTTTACTTTTCAATTTTCTATATCGGGATGTGTAAAAATTGACATTAACATAATTTTAAAAAAATCAAAGGAGAAAATAAATTATTCAATTTCCATTTTCAGGGTTGTTCCAATTCGATTCCAATTGATGAGGTTAAATCTCCAAATCTTCATGATTCTAGTGATGAGTTTAACAAAACTTACTTGGCTTCAAGTAGCGGTCCTTATACGTCTTTACACGACCAAATGGAAGAAGTTTTGGAGGTTTTTTTGTTATTAAAATTTATTTTTATTTTTTTATTTAAAGCACTCTCCAACTGAACATCGTAATCGCGAGAGTATTATGAGCGATAAAACACTCATTCTTTCTCGAGTATATTATAACATTATATTCAAATTTAATTTTAAATAATTTTAGGTTGATAAGGATGATTCTTTGAATATTGTTGATACAACGGATGCTACTTTGGTTCCATCAACTGAGGTTTTGTCTTTAATTTTAAAGATTTTAACGTATCCTTTGGTCGCATAAGATGCAATCATAAGTTATAGCCTCATTATTTGTAGAATATTTTTAATCTTAATGGGGTGTATGCTAGTATTGGACTATTTTGTAGCTACAAATACGAGAATTAAATTATCTAGATTTTTTCCAAAATATTAAGAAAATTCTTTTAGAACTTTTCCATATTTTTGGTCATGTTTATTTTTAGGAGCAACGTCCACCAAGTTATAATCGAATTTCACTAGATGAAAGTGAAGTTATTTCACCAAAACCAACGATTCCACCAGTTCAAATTCCTCCGATCCTGGAGGAAAAGCGGAATCAACGTCGTCAACAACTTAATGAAATTCTTCAGAAGATTCGTCCAGAGAATGGTGCAAGTCCACAAACACCAACAATCCACCATTCTAGTAGTAATGGATTGGCAAAAAATGATGTAAGAAAAAATGGTTTTTTTAATTATTTTTTTTAGAATATGTTTTCGGATACTATGACTTCTCCTAACATTGCTGTTGCAAATCCGCTTATGACAAAGATGTCTGATAGGACTGCTTTAGCGGTTATATTTTTAACTTGTTTTTTTAAATTTATTTTTTAGGAATTTTTGCAAGAACGTCGTCGTGCGATGAATAAATCTATGCAGGAAACTAATGGTGGAGATGGACAGCCGCAACTTCCGGGACAAGTAAGTCATCGAATATTGAAGAGGAAATGTTTTTAATTTTTACTTTTTCACTGGCCACTAACATTTTTAAAAAAATCTTTCATTTCTTACTATTATAAAAGGTATCTGCTACGATCATGGCGAAAAATCCTCCGGTCAATGCAGTTTTCCATTCTGAAGAGAAGAACGAAACAAATGGACATAATTCACAGCATGACAACTATAAATCAATTCGGACTCCTCCAGAGGATCCACATATGAATAATGGACATGGAAATGAAGAAATGCATCCGCCTGAGCCTACGCTTATTAATTTTGGGTAAATATATAAAAAATAAAGATGAGAGAGAAAATGCTTCATTTATATTATAAAAATATATTCTTTAATTCTTTGAAATTGTTTTTACTTTGATTGACAACAATTTTTGGGGGAGAAAAGTTTGGAGAGAAAAAATTTTTTATTAAAAATAGGGGAAACAAAAAATTATTAATTTTTATAAGTGAACAGTTGTCAATTAAAGTATTTATTTTTATTCAATCGTAATCTCATCAAAAAAAGCCTAGTAGTTTTATCTTTTCTGGTTTTCTGATAATTATATTTTGACTGTTTACAAATCGAGGATCTATAAAATCTACCGACATACTCTCTCTCTCTCTCCAACATCCGTCCATCCCCCTTTGCACTTATTTTTAGCAGCTCAATCTTTTCTAACTACTCTCTTCTCTCTATAAATATATTAACAATAAAAACTAGATATTTTTGAAAATTATAAGCCATACCTATTTTATTTAACGAAAAAAATACACACAAAAATTTTGCAATAAGAAAAAGCCTACTCAATTTTAAATTCTTTTTTTTTGGTTTTTTCTCTATTCTCTATAAATACCTTAAAATATATTTTCTACTTAAAAGCTTAAAAGATCTTTTTTGTTTCGTTCTTTTCCAAAAAACACCTTAAATTTGCTTTACGCCTTTTTATGTATTCCGTTATGACAAAATTTAAATAAATGTTTGTCTTTTTTATTTTACTAGTTGGAAATTTTATTTTTTTTCTTTTGGAAATTTTATTCAATAAATGATAAAATGGAAAATTAAAAATTTTGTGGGCAGGACAAAACACCGTCCTGACATAAAACACCATTCTATTTTTACAGACAATTTACTCCAATGTTTGGACAGTGTTTTGGTCGGATATTATAAAAATATGGAGAAAGTAGTAGGAAAAGAAAAAAACTATCTTGCAGATTTAATCCCCCCGAATTCAGTAAATTCCTGACAGCGATAGAAATATCCAAAAATTTCAATTAAGGGAAACAAGATAAAATTTGCTTCACGCTACCCTCGATACATTCTCAAAATTGTTTCAATCATGATAATAAAGCAAATAAAAGATAATGAAGTGTTAAAAGAGAAGTTTGATGTAAAATTAAAAGAAGTGGAAATAAATAAAATAATATCATTAAGGATTTTTGGAAAAAATTATTTTTATTTATCAAAATAATCTACCCTCGATCCATTTTCGAAATTGTTTTTCTCTAATAAATGAATTAAGCGTTGAACAGTTTCTGTAGGCGTTAAAAGCTTTCTATGTAAATTACTATCATGTCTCTTCTTTCCAAAAACTTCTCTTACTCCAGCATCATAAGTTCTTTAAAAAAAGGAAATTTTTTTGAATTAAATTTTAATATTTTTTAAATTACTTTTCTGCAACTTCACTATGCATTGTTGTATCAACAGGACCAGGAGAATAACTGAGAACACGGCAATTTGGATGTTCTATTGCAAAAGCTCGAAAATATGCCTGAAATAATTAAAAATAATTTTTAAATTAAATTTAAAAAATTTTTGGTGACGAAAGGATTCGAACCTATACAAGAAAAAATTGTAGACCGGAACACTACCACTAAACCAAAAACAAGTTAGAGGGATAATCTAAAAAAATTTTGATAAAGAGAAGGAAAATAGTTAATTAAGGAATTATTTTTAGTTAAAAAGTGGAGGATATTTTTTATTAAAAATTTTTTTAAATTTTTCTTTTAATTCCGAATATTTTTTAAAATAATATTTTTCATTAAAATTTAAAGAATACTTTTAACGAAAAATTTTCCTTAAAAATTTAAAAAGAAACCTCTCTAGCAGCCTTCCCAACAGAATATTGAGTAAACGAAGGATAAGGTTTTACAGAAAGTAAAGAAGTCACGTTAATTATAAATATTTTCTTTAAAATTAAAAAATAAATTAATTTTAATTCAAAAAAAGAAAACCTTTTCTTCTTTACAAATAACAGAATA